CATAACCCAACCTCCTGTGACATCCCAGACATCCAGGCAGTTACTTACCAGTCACTTCAGGCTTACAATGATACACACCTTGAGAAGACTCACGTATTGTGTTCCAGATATAGCTCCTACCTCACCGAGACCCTTGAGAAACAGTCAAGCACAGTCAGCGCTGAGAAGATAGTCGGGTCACTCGGGATGGTCGGCACGTGGAGTCGGGTACAGCCTGAAAAGAGCGAACGTAGTGATATTCTGACCGGAGACACAAAAAGAATACTTGAGCTATGCTGGACTGCAGCATGTTGAGCTTATTGCGAGCCAAACCCCGATATTGACAGACTTGACAATGCGCGATTCAAAGGGTCGATGGCCCTTGAAGCTACCCATATCGAAAGACTCTCCAAGAACTGGCGAACAACGCAGTGGATAGATACGTGCATATCACTGGAGCAGGGCTGCAACCCAAACCAGCTATAGAGACTCTGATCTTTCAGGGGTGAGTACAGCAGTGGCATTGGTATAATGCAGTTCTTGACGGCGATTGTATTGATCATGCATTCACTGGTCTAGCAACGAAGGACATACCACAGACGTAGAGACCTGGGGATGTTGAAGTTACGTGTTTGGGCTGCTAGTGACTACGACATGCATCGCGAGGAGTGTAGTACGGCTCGAGTAAACCATTCGTCAACTTGCCAACAAGATGTCTCGCTGTCCACAGCAAACTTCCGACGAAGAAGCCAAAGCATTGTTGCGATCTAGGCAGCACTGAAGCTGCAGAAAGCAGCGGGAAGGCAAGAGATCATCATCAGCGCTGGTCAAGTTGAGGAGGATGAACATCACATTCGATTATTCTATCCCATCACTTAGGATCAGGTAGATAGCCAATGGCTTGCATTGTCTTTATCCACAAAACTGATTGAAGTGAGCCCGACAAACATCATCTTGCTTGCTTCATGGGTTGAGTAACTGGTACAGTCATCGTTTCAATGGAGGAAGATGTTCCCCGAAGCATGAGTTACAAGTCGACCATGCTAGAACATCATCGTTCTCAATAGATGACATGACCAACACAGCACCGCAGGGTCATGTTTGAGGAGCGAAAGCAAGGTGTAGACGATAGGCTACTGAGATAATTGAACAAGGCACAGTCAAATGGCAACTTAGCAAGTAAACAAACCTTCATTTGAGAGCAGAACTTCATCAAGCAAGTACACATAATAGTAAAGCACCTCACAAGTTCACAGTTGGTACGCCGGCATAAATGGAGAAGTTGGTATATTAACAATGGACACATCACAATACATTAGGCACAGTAAAGGTTGATTGAGTTCTGTTTTTTTTGAGAACTACATAGTCTAAGTAGACACTCAGCCCAATTGTCATCGACCTCCAAAGCACGAGGCCTCCAATAAATGGATATTTTCTCCTCATCTCCGTCGTTGAGTGTTTTCATACCACTCAGCACGATATCATCAACCCAGTCTAAAGCCATTATTTGAGGTAAACATGTAACGCAGAAATGCAACTAAGTGCGACCAAATTGGCGCAGTCAAACCATGAATCCAGACTCGCAAACAACGAGTCAAATCTAATCGAGCCACCTATCCTCTAACAAACAAACGCCTTGATGTCATGTACTTTTGAGAATCTGAAGATCCGAAATGCGAGACTGTCTGACCCATACCGCGAAAGGTCGAACCCCCAAGATGGAGGGATACCTTACCATCGACGGTTACCGATGGGCATGTTGTTGGCGTTGGCTGGAGGTCGAGTCAGCTCGATAGGCGTCTTGCTGCTTTAGCGACGGCGGAACCCACCTCTACCTCCGCCACGGCCACGTCCCCATCCACCGTAACCGCGACCGCCACCGCCGCCGTATCGAGTCATCTCAACAAGACGAGGATCAATCTGCTGCTTAGCCTCAGTGAGGACATTGACAAGATCACGAGCCTGCTTCTGGTCTGGGGGAAGTTTGTTAGTACTTTGAAGGCAAAGGGCGTTGAGGAGAATACTCACTATCAGTAGTGAAAAGGGTAATGGCGGTACCCTTGGCACCAGCACGACCGGTACGACCAATTCGGTGAATGTAGTCTTCCGAGTTGTTGGGGTAATCGTAGTTCAACACATGAGTGATGTTGCGCACATCTTTAGCAAGAATGGTTAGCAGGCGAAGAAGGGGTTTGTATAGCAACGTTCCAGCGTGGAAGATGAAGGTGAATAGCGATGCATATTGGCATGCCATTTGTACTTCACTCCTAGCGGAGATGGGGCAATAGAAAGTGCGTCAAAATGCCATCCTGGAGTATGCGGGTCACTGGGTCCTGGAAACAAGAGAACCTTGGCCAGCAGCTTGATCAAAGGCAACAGTATGCCAACTCCACACCTGTACCACGGAAGTGGAAACGGTACAAGAGCGAAAACACGTGAGTATAGCAAAGTGAAGGCTACACAACGGATCAAGACCCCGTTGGTTGAGAACCAATTGGACACGATAATTATCAGGCAGATTCGCACAGTCAAGAGAGCCCCTAAATACGAGAGTAAAGTACAGCAAGTGCTGTTGCTGGAAGTTGCCATGAAGGGGGAGAGGGAATGATACATACCAATACCACGCGAGGCAACGTCAGTGGCCACCATGATGGGGGACTTTCCGGTCTTGAACTGGTCAAGGACCCAATCACGCTCGTTCTGCTGCTTGTCACCGTGAATGGCTGTAAAAGGTTAGCATTTGTCAATAAAAGTGCAGTAGCATAGTACTCACAAAGCGCAGGCCAGCCGTCCTGGCGAAGGAATCGGGTGATCTCGTCAGCAATTCGCTTGGTACCGACGAAGATGAGGATCTTGTTCTCCTTGTTCTCCATGGTCTTCTCGAGATGCTTAATCATACGATCACGCTTCTCCATATCGGTAACAACCTCGACAATTTGGGTAATTCGGTGGTTGGCGGCAAGCTCCATGGAACCGATGTTGACTTGGATGAAGTCGTTGAGGAAGTCGGAAGCCAGAGCACGGACCTCCTTAGGCCAGGTAGCAGACCACATGAGAGTCTGTCGGTCGGGTCGAATCTGGCCAATAATCTTGCGGATCTGGGGCTCGAAACCCATGTCAAGCATGCGATCAGCCTCGTCGAGGACGAGGTAGGTAACACGACGCAGGTTGGTCTTACCGGCCTCGAGCATGTCGATCAAACGACCGGGGGTGGCAATGCAGACCTCGACTCCTCTGGAAAGGTCACGGATTTGAGGACCCTTGGGGACACCACCGTAGACACAGGTGTTGCGGATGCGAGAAGATCGACCGAACTTCTTCATCTCTTCCTGAATCTGGACAGCAAGCTCACGAGTGGGAGCGAGGACAAGGACAATAGGACCATCGCCGGGGGCGAGGAGAGGTTGGGCGTTGATGTGGACGATGGAGGGAAGGCAGTATGTGAGGGTCTTTCCGGAACCAGTCTCGGCGATACCAACGACATCACGACCAGAGAGGGCCATGGGCCAACCCTGGGACTGAATGGCGGTGGGAGCAGGGAAACCCTGGGCCTTGACCTCGTCCATAACATATCGTGGGAAACCGGCCTCGTCGAAAGTCTCGACAGGCTTGGGGACCTCGGTGCCAGCAATGGTCATCTGATGCTTGCGGCGGAAAGCCTCAACGTCGGCATCAGATCGGTTCTCAACATCGGGGTGCTCCTTGTAGAAGGACTTCTCGAATTTGGGCAGAGAGTTGACATCTAAAAGAAGGTTAGCAGATGCGAAAGAAGAAAACTGATGATGATAACACATACCCCATTCTTGGTTCTTGAGGCCGGAGCCGAGAGCGCCCATACGGTCGCCGCCAGCACCTCCTCCGTAACCACCGCCGCCGTAACCACCACCACCACCGCCGTAGCCGCCACCGCCGCCGCCGTAGCCATTTCCGTTGCTTCGGCTGTATCTATTGTCAGTAAAAATGTCTTAAGAAAGTGAGGCGAAAACGCGGTGTAGAAAGGCGGGCGAGTTTCTGTTGAAGAAAGGGCGGCCCAATCTTCAAGGTGAAACCACCAAACCGTACGCGCAAAGCACAAAGAAAAGTCGACTTACCCTCCGTAACCACCACCGTGACCATTGCGGTCACCACCACGGTCGCCGCCGCGATCACGGCCATAACCACCACCGCCGTAGCCACCGCCTCCGCGGCCGCCACCGCCGTATCCGCCGTCGTAGCCAGACATTATGATAAGGAGTAAAGGATAAGACGGAGCTGGTTACAATAGCCCGTCTTGGAAGGGAGAAAGGGGATTATTAGAAGGAAGAGAGTCGTGGGAAACGCGATATAATATCTCCAAGTAATGAGATTGGGGCTCTTTTTGATGGAGAAAGAGTGCGTGCCCAAAGGTTGGATGATGTCGGAAGGGAAAGGAGATGAAAGGTGAGGACGAGTGGAAGTTTTAAGTGAGCCTGCGATTCCCAGCGCGCTTGGTTTATTTTTTTTTTCGCCGCTAACAAAAAAAAGTTGATGCAACTGGCGCCTTGCGGCAAGTCCGCCTAGTGGATCCACTTGCGATATATGATTGGCTTTCACTGGTCCACGACGAAGAACCCTTGGGGACTGGAAATAAGACCCGCCACCTTAGTCAGGGACACTGAGAACCCTGCATATAAGCTACCCTATAGAACAGGTTCGAAAATTTCTTTCTCTCGATGGATTTCAAGATGATGAACAATAAATCCAGTAGGTGGAACTCACCTGAATGGGACGTGTGTCTCCCTATAGAATGAATGGCTGTGTCTCAAGATCATACACCTTCAATGACTGCGTTCATGACAACGTAAGTTTGTGACGCTGCTGCTGCCTGAAAGCCAAACCTTGTAAGATACACGCTTGCCAAGCCCAGAACAACAACACATGCTGGAAGGTGTAGTTGCGGTAGCCGTGAATAATGTAGTGATCCTTCCGCGGTATATGTTAGGTGGCAATAACTTTGTCAGTTTATAACATGTGTCTATCTTGTTCGTTTGTATCAATTTATCTCATACAGTCGAGTTTTTCACTGCCCCAACAGCATCCAATGCTTCCCCTAAAGCCTCCTTAAAAGCATTCACAAACTTCCAACAATCCAGAAACGTATTGTACAATGGTGCAGGAGCAACCCTAATAACGTTCGGTCTGCGCTCGTCCACCAAAACACTCCTTCTCTCTAGACCAGACATCACCTCATCCAACAACCCGTCAGAGAGAAGCAAGCTTACTTGCGCTCCGCGGCGCTCTTGTTCACTGGGCGTGATGATCTGCCAATGTGCGCTCATGTCCGCCGGAAGTTTCTGCAATTCAGAAACGAGGTATGCTGTTAACCTTGTACTCTTGGCACGTATGGGAGCCATGCCGCCGGCGAGTTCGAAGACCTCTAGAGAAGCGCAGAGTGAGGTTATATCGAGGACGGACGGGTTGCTGAGTTGGAATCCCGCTGCGCCAGGGACGGGTACGAAGCCGGGTCTCATCTCGAAGCGCTTTGTCTTGTCGTTTCCCCACCATCCGGCAAGTCTCACATTGTGTGATCCATCTTCGTCGACCTGTGTATGACGCTCGTGAACAAACAGACCACCGATACAGCCTGGACCACCGTTAATGTACTTGTAGGTGCACCAAGCAGCAGCGTCTACGTTCCAGTCATGCAAGGAGAGAAGCACGTTTCCTGCAGCATGTGCAAGATCCCAGAGAACGAAGATACCCCGTTCGCGAGCAAAAGCTGTCAACCGTTGGATATCGAGTAGTTGGCCTGAGTAGTATTGGATACCAGGGAGGAGAAGCACAGCGGTTGTAGAAGCGTGTTGATCAATAACAGACTCAATGTACTCTTCGGGGAGAATGTCCGCGTTATTGGGAGGTTCAAGAGTAATCATAGACTCTTCAGGACGTAGTCTATGATGGCGTATTTGTGTTTCAACTGCATACTAGGCACGCGCATATGTTAGCTAGCATACCTTGGTATCTAGTCTGATCACTAACATGGTCACTTGGGAATGCCTTGCTTTCCAGGATGATCTTATGGCGCCCCTGAATATCGGGTTTGTAGAACGCTGCCATTAAGAAGTGCAGGTTCGCTGTCAGTGTCTGCATGACAGCCACTTCGCTGACCTTGCCGCCCACGATAGGTGCAACCATTTCCGCAGCGCGAGCGTCGACATCCAACCAAGTCGGCAGAGGGGAGTCATCAAGGGGCTTGAAGTGGCCCTGTACACCCTGGGTGCGCCATGTTGCGAGGTACTGCTGAATGCGCTCTGCTGTACGCTTGGGCTGGAGACCGAGCGAGTTGCCTACAAGGTAGATGGCCTTTTCATCTGCGTCTAAGAGTGTCAGCAAGGAGTGTTCTTCGGCAAGACACAAAGAAACTTACTTGTGCTATTGTCCGAAGGGAGAGTTTTGCGTGCTACGTCAGCTTGAGATGGGATGTTAAATTCATCACGAGTGTGTCTCAGAACATCACTCGAGTCCAATTCGATGGCACGGTCCTGTCCGGAAAGATTTGACGAGTCACCCATGGCGAAGAGCACAGCTTAGCTAGGTTATCGTTGCAATGGGTTGCCCACCTTGGGGATAGTGACGAGTAATAGTTATCTTCCGTCCCCACGTCCAGTCTTCTGGAAACAAGCCTCGGGGTAGCAGGAAAGTTAACCTTTGAAGGCCGAGAAGACAAAATAATGGAGTTACTTAATGTCGATTCAGACTGGCCCCTTGGATTATTTGTTTTCTGCACCTTGAGCTTACCTAGATCTCGGCTCCGCATGTCGGATTGATGCGGGGAGCTCTGTGCCCCGCAGTCCAACTTGCGAACCCGGACCCCCGAACTACCACCGGAACTTTTTGGAGATGGAAGGTCAGATAGTCTCGATGCTAGTCTTGATATCCACATGAAGACCAGGTCAGACCAGACCAGACTAGACCAGGCATGTGAATTACAGATAATACTCATCCATACCCGGTCTGCCTGGAAAGAACCGGCAACATACATCATGTGCTCCTAAATATTGTCTTGCGATGCCTCCTAACGCGCTGATCGTCCATGTTGACAGCTTTTTGTCTTGGAGAATCACATGTCACATTGGATATACATCGTAAGCTTTCAAGGTGCGCAACAATGAAAGAGCAAATGCTTAATTTACTATGTCAAATCTTCTTCATTTGTTTTTCACCGACCTCCCTCATGTCTTTGCTGCTTTTCCGCACGCTCTAGCTATGTCATACAAGGGCCCTGCCTCTCCCATCTATATCCGTGAACAAAGAAAAATTAAAGAACAACCAAAAAGAAAGACCAACTCGAGGTGTACATTATGAAGCATTCCAACCCAAACCCAACTCCAATCAGACCTCTATTAGTCCGGCTCAGTTAGGCTTCATAGGCCTATGCACAATGCTCCAAGTACACCCTCCCAAGAACAGATCATCGTGAGCTAGGCAGCGTAGACTGGGTTTCGAACTCACCACTAACCATAGCTCATATCAGGGTATCGAACCTTGTCGCGTAAAAAGGGTTTGTCGGATCGAGGTTTACTCGCGAGAGACATCACGGCCGAAAGCCTTGGACTTGAGCCAGTCAACGGCAACCAGAACACGGTTTCGGGCTGTGAAAGTTTAGTTAGCATAAATCCTATACAAGGCTCAAGAATTGTCAAAACTTACTGCTGAAGCACATAGAAAGGTAAGCACTTCGCCAGAACAGGTAGGTCAAACCACCACCGCTGGCAATGTTGCCGTTGAACCAAGGGACATCAGCGACAGCCTTCTCGCTACCGATGTAGGCCAGAGAACCCTGGTGGGAGTATCGGAAGGGCTTGACATCCTTGATACGGCGGAGCTGCTTCTCGAGAGACTCAATCTCAGCAGCAATCTCGGCAGAGTTGCCCTGCTTGAGGTTCAGGCTGCTGCTAAGCTCCTTAATGCGGGCCTCCTGAGTATCGGTCTTGGCCATGTTGTTGAACAGACGAGCCAGGAAAGAACCCTCCTGGGAAGCGACCTGGGCGGTAGGGGCGTAGCCGGCAACAGCGCAGTCACCGACAGCCCAGATGTCGCGAGTTCCCTGAACAACGAGGTACTCGTTGACGGCAAGACCGCGACGAGAATCCTTCTGAGCGGGGACCTTGCCCATGAGATCACGGACGATGGGTCGGACAGCGTTACCGGTGGCCCAGACAAGCAGGCCGTAAGGCAGGCGGAGAGTCTGCTTGCTGCCGTCGGGTCCAGCGAACTCGGCCTCAACATACTCCTCTGTTACCTTCTTGACCATGGTCTTGAGCTTGATGTCGATGTTCTCCTCACGCATGGTGTTCTCGGTGTACTCAATAAGCTGCTTAGAGAACGAGGGGAGAACGTTGGGAAGAGCCTCGATGAGGGTAACCTTGAAGCGGTGGCTGATATCAGGGATAAGCTTCTTGATATCCTCTTCGAAGAAGTCACGAAGCTCTCCAGCGAACTCAACACCGGTAGGGCCACCACCAACGACGACCATGTGCATGAGACGGTCGATCTCCTCCTGAGACTGACCCTTGAAAGAAGCTCGCTCAACACAGTCCATAATCTTCTTGCGGATCTGTTGGGCGTCGCCAATCTCCTTGAGGAAGCAGCTGTTCTCGCGGACACCGGGGATACCGAAGGTAGCGTTCTCAGCACCAACTCCGATAACGAGCATGTCGTAGGGGATCTCGGTCTCGGATTGAGGGCCCTTGCCCTCAGTGTTGTCCTTGATCTTGACAACCTTGCGGTCAGGGTCGACGGAGGAAGCCTCAGCTTCGTAGTACTTGACGGCACCCTTCTTGTGGCGGAGGATAGTTCGAACAGGCTCCATGATGGAGCGGTGCTCGATAAGACCGGTTGTACATGAGGGCAGGAGGGGGGTGAAGAGGAAGTAGTTGCGAGGAGAAACGACAATGACGTTGTAGTTCTCGGTATCGAGGTTCTTGAGGAGACCAACAGAGCCCCAGCCGGATCCTATATAAGGGTATTGCGTCAGTAACTTTGTTCAATATCTAGGAGCTATGCGCGGGAAGTAACTTACCAAGAACGACAAGAGTCTTCTTGGAAGGGTCAGGCTGGTACTGCTCTTGAGGGTGGCGGTCATCGTAGATAACGTAGCATGTATAACCGACGAGAGCACCGAGGGAGAGGTATGTAAGTCTCCATGTCCATCGCAGAGTTCGTCGAATCTTGCCAGGTCTGGGCTTGGGCTTGGGGGCCTCGTCAGCGTAGGCTCTTCGGAAAGCAACACGGCCAGTGTTGTTCAGTCTCATAGCGACAGAAGGTCGAGCAGAGGTCTTGGAAACGGTAGAGAGGGCGCGAGTTGCGATGCGACTGCTGGGAGCGACCTGGCCGACCCTAGAGAGGGCCGTCATGGCTCGCGCGGAGGAAGCCATTGTGAAGGAGCTGGTAGAGAGAAGCTCAATTGAGAGCGATTGGGTCGAGAAGAGGGAAAGAGAAGAACAGGAGACACAGGACTGAGAGTCTCTGGACCAAGTGAGGGCGTCGCGAGCGTACGGGGCTGGTGACGAACAGAGGTGAGTCGAAGGAGAATCAGTCACAACCCACGAAGGAGGGCGAGAGAATTTAGTTACAGCGGAGTGAGCCTGTAGGTACCTCAGTACTTTGGACTTTGGGTTACGAGGTTAGGTTAGAAGCCGGCTGGCCGGGCACAAGGACTAAGAGGTATCTGTAGTGTAGGGTGTAAGAAAAGATGATGGCATAGCTATGCTTGGCTATGGTTGGATTGTTTTTTGCTCCCTTTCGCTTCTCTCTATTTGACGAGATAAGACAGACACATCCCGTCCTTTCCTCCATTTCTTGCTTTGCTTTGCTTGTGGTTGTTGCTCCACTAAAAAGTTCAAGTTCCCTGCCCCTGCCCGTACCTTTAGTAGCGGAGCGGGTCGGCGTGGGCTTCCGGGCCTTCAGCTAGGTGAGGTAAGGTGCAGGTGCCATGCCCTGAATGACGCCCACTGAAAGACACGACATTCAACTGGGTCGCGTATTTGTGAGAATTGATTTGAGTCACAATTCTCTTTGACAATTCATTTTTACTCACTTTGAGGGTATTCATTCAATACATGGAACCCTAGAGGTTGTTGTTTAATCCCGCTTATCAGTTCTCATATCCTAATTCCATCTCCAATCTCATATCTCAACCTATCTATCCAATCCATCGGACCGGCTTTGACCCCGATCCAGAACTCTGGCTCCAACATAACGTTACTGTCCACAGTGGAAATCGGGATTGTTCACGGCCATTTAGACAGTATTTTGCCGGTCATGATGGATGAAAGACCTAAAATTTTGCTACTCTCGCCCTTGGCATGTCCGGCCCGTCTATGAAATCAGCGAAACTCCACCATATTGAGAACCCCTGTATGCATTTTTGTCATGATGGAACGCAACGATGGTAAGAATGTGAATGAGAAGGAGAAGGAGGCGAGCAACCTTTTCAATTGGTCTTGATAACTTGCTCTGCTTCTGAGGTCTTTACCGAATAACTAACAGAGCATGTGCTTGTCATAAATTGTAACCTTTCTGTCCCATGGATGTCATCATTGTAGCCCAGAATAGGCAGTACAACTCACAAAAGGGTGGACAACAAACAACTCGGTGTCACTCCGTTTCCGGCCGTCCGGTATTCACGACAGCATATGTCACATCGGAATTCACTATCTGCCCTGCTACTTCGCAGGGCTGTAGTCAAGCGTTTAGGGGAGATATCTGATGTGCTATGGGAAAACCCCGACCCAGTGATAAATGTTCGGTGAAAACCCGGTTTCTCGCGTTCCTGTATGTCAAACCCAGTGATATCGGATAAGCTAACCAGATAGTAAACAGCATTGCAGTGCTTGCTTACGATATTCATCAGATGGAGACAAAGATATCGATCTGAAGCTAGCAACCGCAACAAAAGAGTCTCGACCATGTAGAGCAAAAGACGGATAATTTCCATGATACAGCGCGGTTAATTTACAAGTGGCTATAGGGTAATCGATATGCGCGATTTGAGTGCATTCGCATTCACATGTTGCAGGTAGCTCCATCCATGGATCCGTGGTAGCCCGAAGAGGTATATACCCTCGTCTCTAATGCTAGGAACAACAAGCGAATGGTGGAATTGCTAATGAAATCGAAATCCATGACAGAAGATCATGTTTTATCTTTGATCCTTTTCTCCTTGGGATGACAAGTCTCACCTTGTGGTTCACAAAAGTTACAGACTGCCCTGTATCATTGAATGCAACAGAGCATCATATGCCTACATATACCACCCTCCATCTCGCACGTACATAATCTAGATAAATATTTGTGCAACCTCAGATCTTGACATGTGCCGGATGACATTCGACAGAGTACTTACCCCAGAATCGAAAGAGTGTTGGGGTCTCCAATACATCCCTGACTTTCCAGTGCGGTACTGTACTGTAAGTACACATCGCGGAGCCGCAATCAGACCCTTTCTCGGCCTTGCATCCGTAGATGCGTACATCTCATCATAACAATTGAATCCGAACCTCAACTGAACCCTGAGAAAAGCCTCAGCTCCCTTAAGTTAGTGCCCGTTCTGTTCTGCCTCCTTTAGACCGGGTGGATCTTATCGTGGAGTCTTAGAGACAAGACAATCGATAATCAATGTCTCTGTCTGTCCGCAAGTGCGCTAATGATGGAACCGCGCTTGGTTGTTTCTTTTTCTTCATTGAGTACTGTATTTCGGCGTAGGCGAGCTGCGTGATTGGAGCGCATTGCAGGAGGTGTTCGGTGAGAGAGCACGGTGAGAGTGCTGAGGACGGCGTCTATTTCGACTTCACCCGTCATTTCGGTTATCTGTTTCTAGGAACAGGATATTATTAGGTCTTATAGCCACCGTTACTAAGTAAAAGCGCTACCTGACGCTGGTGACTGGTACTTGATATTGGTGATATCCGCTGTGGTTGCTGGTCGATACATGCAATAAAGGAATGCTTCAGGTAGGTAGTTGTACGCGTATTCCGCTAATTTCGTCATGAATTCGACTCGACAGTAGATGATGAAGGGTTCTCGCACAAGCCGCGTCCCTTCTTTCACGAAACAGGATATCAAGATTATTGTTTGCCACTTACTATCATCATCATCATCATCATCATCATAACTGAAGCATCAATGCTTCTATGACCCCCACCACGAATATTGATGTAATATTCTGGAACTGAATCAGAGGTGTTTTCAGGGTCCATAAAAGAAGGATGCTATCCACCGTGATTCAACATCAAACATCCACTTGACGACCAAAGCTTCTTGATATCGGACCGTTTTGGACGCCCCATCATCAATCGCAGATTTTGCTAGTTGCTGGACCCGGCATTTAACAAGCGACCCCAGATGAGGCTGATCAATCATCAAGATAAAAGGAAAATCAATGATAGGTCGCGTGATGAACTGCCTTGATCCAGTTGGGCTCGGAAGAGGGATATAACGATGCGACTCTATATGTGTTAAGGTGATGGATTTGATGCAAAACAAGCTTCAGAATACTGAATTTGTCTCGGATCAACCTGTTTGAGGCAGCCCAGTCGTTCCTGTCCAGTGGCAAGAAACCCTGTGTTGATCATTTAATTCGCTCTCGTTGAAAGTTGTTGTTATTGGACAATTGAATGGATATGAGTGTTTGTAAGAACCACACTTGCATATCGACATTGTCTGCATAACAAGTTAAAGAACGACATCCGTCTCTAATAACCAATCTATTCCACAAAACAAAGGCATGCTGAGAAACGGTTAAATGATGTGATATAGACCCCCTGCATGAATGTCTTCATTTACTTCTGGCGACCCCGAGCCGGCTGAAACAGGAGCCTGAGACGAATAGGCCCCCTGCTAGAATATTGGCCAGCACGGAGCTGAGGCCAGCCGCGCCTAACACAGCCACAGCTATTATATGCGGTGGCCCTGTTAGTAGACACAACGACAGGCTACTGTATCATGTTCCTCGCGCCCTGAATCTTACTGCCGTTTACACTCAGACTCACTGTCTCTCAGTGAATTAGTTATTCCGTCACAGTAAATCAATTTGACCACGAATGGTTCGTGATGCTGGTCTCGTGTTCAAACCACCATCTAACGTTTTAAACCCCCCTGAACCCTGAGATCGCCTTGATTCTCGTCAAAAGTATGCTGGTCTTCCAGATACTGACATGGATGTAATTGTGTCGTTAGGTCTCCAATGTAACCGTTGATCGTGTCTCATCTTTCCTCTTCGTTTCGACTTCCGCTCGTTTTCCCTCTTTCTCTCAATCATCAGAAATACAACTCTTGCCGTCTAACCGCCAAGAGCTTTTATACTTTCCTTTGTCATTCTCTTCCTCTTCCTTCTTTTGCTCAAGGCTGGCCCTTCTTTTTGAATTTGTTGATTGTTCCCCCCTCTCTCACTTATCGATTCAAGTCTGTGACTTCAATCGTAACGACACTCTTTTACCCAACACCCATTGACTTGGGTATTATCATTGATACATTTTAAAGAACATATTGTTCAAGTAATACTTATTCTTCTTACCACATAAAACATTCGCTTGGACCAATAAGAGCAGCAACGAAAACAAAACGATTACAACTACTACAACATACTACAACAACAAATACAATGGCACCTTCACCCGAGAAACGCCGCCTTCAATGGCAGACTAAGACAAAGACGAAGAGGGGATTTGCAGGAACTGTCCCAGACTGGACTGTTGCCGAAGAGGACGACGATGACAAGTACGATGTTCACATCATGAGAAGGCACTCTGTTAGGCATAGACTTCGACGACGAGACATCAGCAGCACACCCGTTGAAGAGTCCGAGGTGCTGGTGTCTATTCTACATGATGAACCTTACAACACGCAACCCGTCTCGACCCCAACCCCAATCTCAACTTCAACCTCAACCTCAACCCCGACATCTACCAAGGCTATAAAGGCGTACGAGAGTGGCAGCGACAGCGACAGTCAAAGTGGCGATGAAAGTATGAGTGATGACGAGAACGAGGAGAGTGACGATGAGGTAGAGAGCGACCCTGTACCAACTGATCAACCCATCGACGACAAAGATGTGCCATACAAGGTCAAACTTCCCGCATCGGCAACAGAAACACCAGCAGTTGATGCGCCATCAGCAGAGGGCAGCATAGAGGAAAGCATGGTGAGTTCAATCTCTTCGACCCGCATGTTTTTGGCATTGTTTTAGATTAAAGAAACATGTCATCCGCATTGAAAGCTTGGGCTTGCTAACTCATAAAAAGATTTCCGGAGGTGAGGGCATCCACTCAAACGTTCATAAGATCCTCTTGGGTGTGGGATCAGTTGGTAAGTTACTACTTTAAGTCATAGTCATTCATCAGAAGCTGACATTTATATCCAGGTGGCTTCCTCCTTCTTCTCGGTATCGTCTTCCTTGTCTGGAAGTTCCATTCAAAGAAGAGATACACGGCGAAGCCTCCTCCTCCACCTCCTGTCGACGATATGTCTCATGAAAAGCCCAACCGGTTCGAAACCCTCGTCTCAAAGCTACCTTTCTTGGGACCACGTCTTGGCCACAAAGACTGGTACACCATTGAAGACCCATCTCCTCCCTACTCTTCACATATCAGCGATGAGAAGAAGAGAGTTTTCTCTCCCTCACCCTCACCTTCGTCGCTACCTCCACCTCTGCCAGTCTCATCCCTTCCTAAGCAGTCCGCCACTCATCTCACTGTGCCCGCCAAGCCATATGGTCTCTATCGGATGAGCAGCAGGACCGAGCAAACGAACTACGACATTGATGCTACAAGTCCTACAAGCCCAGGCTTTGTGGAGAATGCTGTCCAAGTTCAGGTCGTCGCTCGTCATGCTCCCAGGCAAAGGCAAAGTCAAGGTCTTAGCCCACCTTACTACAAGCCGCAACCACAACACAACCGCGCCCCTTCGGCAGCGCCATATGCTTACGACGTTGCAAGACGCCAGACCGGTGTCAGTGAATTGTCCTCCATCTCTTCCGGCTTTGGTGACGGCGATATTGTCATAACGCCATCCTACCAGACCGCCCAGAGCGTGCCCTCTCAGCCAACACCTTCTCGCCAACCCACATGGAAGTCTACCAACACACACAGCCGTCGTGATACTGTATCCACAGTAGCCTCAGTGGAAACTCGACCGAGATTTCACTCTGTTAACTCGTGGGTGAAGCAGCAGAATGGACAACTGCGACGGGCCCAAAGACAACAAGAGCAGAGTGACGCTCCCCCAGTCCCTGCTCTGGCTCCCCCTCCTGAGCAGGACTTCAGATACATGTTGCAAGATGACGAGAGACCACGTCCAGTGGAGATGGTCTGATCTTGATTAAAGAAGCATGTTTTTATGTGTATGTATGCATGTTTGTATGTATTTATTTGTTTTGGAGTATGGTATGCTAGAGGCGTCATATATCCTTACGTTGGAGTTCATTTTCTGGTCTAAACACAACCCGCATAAACTCAAGTGTATACTCAATTCTACATCTAATAATTGAATTATATCTATACCATAACCCCCTTTTTGTGATGAAATGTCTTGAAGTTATGTCTGCTTAGCAGGGAACATCTCCCAGAAGCCAATTTCCATCTGTGTAAAGTCAGTAAGAGTGCCATGGTTTGGACGACAGAGTATCTACCTTGAGTGCATGAATGAAGATTTGCACCAGTTCTTCAATTCGAGAAGGTGACTGGAACTGGATGTGCTTTTCGAGCAGAGCTTGGTAATGGTTAACGGAGGAAGCTTGATAGATGTGAGCGTAAACTTACCAGAACCCAGCTTGACAGCATCAGTGTAATCCTCCTCGTTATAATTCTTGATCCAAGCCCAATACGTGTTGTTCTCACGCACGGTATTTTCATGGTCGTGAAGCATCTTAGCCGCGGCGCCGTAGCCAAGGAGGCATGGGGCGAGTGCCATCTGAAGACCGAGCCAGTCACCGTTTTGACCGACGTCAAGGACATAGCGAGTATAAGCGGTGCATGCTAAAGTGGTATTAGTAAGAAATGTTGAGAGAAGTTAGTAGACTGGCTTACCTTGCTTCTCTGGTGTGGCACGAATCTCTTTGAGCGAGACACCAAAGCTCTCGCAGTATGAGGTGTGAAGCTTCAGCTCATGCATAATATGCTGAACGATTTCTGTTGCCTGGAGAAGACCTGTTAGCTCTTTGATCATTTTAGGTCAAGGGTGCTACATACTCTAGAAATATCCTCGATGGTCTGCGCTTTATAAGCCGCGAGGGCATTGGCACGCGAGAAGTGAATCTACAAACACTTGTTAGTCAAACATGATAGGTTACCACAAGATCAAGACAGACCAAATAAAGATAGTCCTGGATGATGTAGCCTTTGAAAGACTCGAGAGGCAGAGTCCCATCTCCCATAGCCATGACAAACGGATGGTACACAAACTCCTTCCAGACATCACGAACATCTGGGCGCTCAAGGAGCCATTCGATGAAGTAACCACTGTGGATTGAGTCAGTGAGCGTTCGATGATAGTAATAGAGAGATCTGCTTACGGAGCAAAAGGAAGAGTATAGGTTGAATGGAAGTGGTTCAGAGGACCGTGTCCCTTGCCCAGTCCTGGCGCAGTGCGAATTGCAGCCTCGATGTATCGACATGCTGATTGAACAGCCTTGGGCGTTTCAATACCTTTAGACAGATTCGAAGCGATAGCAGCTGAAGGACCGTTAGCATGTTCCGAGTTTTCTCTCAAGATAAGGCCATCACCTACATGCTAGCGAGCATCCCGTGCCGTGGGTGCTGGAGCTTGCTTGATAGGGACTCTTCACCCTAATTACTTCTTCATTTCCTCCAACAAGCACGTCAAAGACAGAATGCTTCTCCTCTTCAGTCTCTGCCACGGTAAAGTCTTCTTTCATAGGACGGTGCCCACCCTTGACAAGCACCCACTTGGGGCCCAGCTGCTGGATTCTCTTCGCGATAGTCTCAAGATCTTGAACGTCGCGAACCTCGGGAGCTTCTTGGCCATTTTGAGACAGGATAAGTACTGCCTCAGGGATATTTGGGGTGAGCACTGTGGTGTGTGGTAAGAGGTGCTTGCAGAGATGCTGAATGGCTTCATTGGGGAGCAGTGTTGCGCCAGAGGTTGAGACCATGACCTATCCACTGTAAGAAGGGCGAAGAACAAGAATTTGAGGCTAAACATACTGGATCTACCACAAGACATGGGATGTTGTGTTTGGTGACAGTCTTTCCAACCATCTCTATCGTCTCTGCCGAAGCGAGCATGCCTATAAAGGTGTATAAGTTATGCCGTTGGCTACTGGACGACGTATGTTTTACTCACCAGTCTTGATGACATCAACTCCAACATCTTCTACACAGGCATCAATTTGCTGAGAAACAAATTCGGCAGGTATGATATGAATGCCCTTGACGCCCTGGGTGTTTTGTGCAGTAAGGGCTGTAGTTGCTGTCATAGCATAGCAGCCATGAGCAGCAATGACTTTCTGGTCCGCTTCAAGTCCACTAAATTAGAATGGAATCAGCACGCAAACATCTCACTCAAATTATTAAATATGCAGGAATCCGTGTCATGCCACTCTTGAATGAAAGGCAAGACGGAGTCGACTTACGCTCCGCCCGAGCTGTCCGAGCCTGCGATAACAAGCACCCGTCCCTGTACCATAATGTTCTGGTTTCTCACAATTGGCCTTCTCAAGATTTATAAGATATAGACAAATGATTCTCTTTATGAAGAGATATATATCATGTGTAGATGTCGAGACGAGACTTAATCCCGCGTTCGGCCTTGAAGCGGCGTGGGATTGGTGGGGCTCAAGTAACTCACGTCACTATGGCTAAAGGCCAAGTCGTACATATCAGTTCATGATGTTACTAACCTGCTCATATAACTGATTAGGGCGATAACTATCATCCATAGCCGATAATCAATGTACAATTCTTCTAGATCGAGTTATACTGGGTAGAGCAACAACTTGTGATTCAATACAGAGACTAAGTATGCGAAATAAATGGACATCACCGTTGTAAATCGCTTCAAAATGCTCAATTCAAGCAAACATCTCCTACTCAACATCAGACCGGCAGTCTTTCTTCCTTGACTTTTTGCCCAATAACTCCTTGATCCAAATTCCAACCCGGACACCAACCCCTTGCTTCAACCGCGCACCACACATAGGTATATATACAACTCAAGATCGCCTCCCGAACGTGCCATCATTATTGTTGTCATTGGTATCATACAGTTGAAACTTCCCAACTTGATCTTGCCATTGGCTATGTAATTTCTTCTCTTTTGCCTTCATCGCCTGCGCCTTTACCGCCGAATCCGAAGAGGGGACGGTGCAAGTTCTGGCGGCGGCGCCAACGGCTCGCTGATACTGCGCTGCCTCTCCGTTCTATCGTCGCCCGAACTGTTCTCGCCCTCGCCGCTCTCTTCTCCGCTATCATCGCTACTATCGTCGTCGTCCTCGCTATCCTCGTCAAAAACAATTTGACGCATCACGTTCTTGTCGAACAGGTCTATAACCATCCTCCGCACTCCCAATCGGTAGTGGTTCCACTCCATTGCAGCCATCACCTCTTTAAAGAATTGGGTGCTTCGGAAGGCTGTTGGCTTGTGCGCTCGCAGCTTTTGAAGGTCCGTAAGCGCCTTTTTGTAGAGAACCATGTTTCCAAGATCCACAATGAGTTCCAAGACCCTCGTGTTTACGTCCGCGTCGCTCAACAAAGCGGGAAGCTCTGATGGCTCAAGAGGTGGCTTAGCAGCTCGAGGAGGTGGTGCTTCTTGGGCTGTGCGTTGAGTCGATGGCAAAGTGATTGACGTTACCGTCTTTTGTTTCCACGGAGTCAGTGACAGTAGCTTGTTTAAGTTGTTGGGTATACAGAAACCAAGCGAGCTGCCCATGGGTGTTGTGTTGGCATCCCAGCCGTTCTCAGAAAGAATCTCTAGACCGTGTGTTGACCGGGAAATCAGGCCGAGAACAAAGAATGCCGTTCCGCGTAGACTCATCACCTCGTGATGCTCGGCAATCTTGATGATATGCTCCACCACATCATTGGACTCCAAGAAAGGGGCACCAAGCTCCATCGATCCAACATTGCCGACTGCCCAAAGACATCCCTTGACCTTGGTAAGCATCTCTGAATCGCCTGTATCCATGCCGTGCTCGCGGATTGTAGCTGCAAAATCTTCAAAGTGACCCTTGTCACTGAGCAGTCTACATCCTTCTTGGGTACGAGTCAACTCTCGATAAAAGTGCGGCGGTACATGGCTATCATGATACTCCCCATCGATCTCACCGTCGTTGAATAAGCTCATGCGGGGGTTGTGCTCGTCTGTGTCCATAAGGAAGGTCTTGGCTAAACCTGCCTCAATGACCTTGACATAAGTGTCGTTGCGTCCTAGGAACCAATCGTCCATTTCATTGCTGATATAGTCCAATCCGTCCAAATAGTGGTATCCAATAGAGGTCGACAAGAATCGCAACAAAAGCGGTGCTCCGATCTCACCTAAATGGTCAAGAGCTGGCCTACATTCAACGATATATTCCAGATAGGTCTTGCGATTACAAGCCTTCTCAAGGATTTTGACAGCTGTTGCACAAACTTCAATCTCAGGATCATAAAGTTGCGTTACCAGTAGCTGAATAGCCCATTTGGAATCACTGACTCCACCCTGCCCATTGACCGATGGTACTGGGCGAATCGCGTATTTGCGAAGGGCATTTGTTGCGTGAATGCGAATATCCTTTGTACCGGCCGTCAAAGCTTTGGAGATCAGCACACGGGGATGCCCTTGGACGCTATAGTCGAAGCTTGAAAGAAGCAGCTTGATAAGATCGGGTCTCTGCTTTAGATCCATGATATGATAAATCATGTTGAACATCCTCCATCGTTCTAGTAGCTGAAGTCCCTTGGGATCACCACTCAGAACACCAACCATCGAGAAGTAACCCGCGCACAGTGTGTCGGTCACTCGATCTTTCGAGAACATGGGGTACTGGGCTGTGAGTCCACTAGTCTGAATCGATTGTTAGCAAGGAGTGATACATGCTCGGGCAATAGACCGTACCGGATCGCATTGTGCTAAGCATTCTGCTATCTGCCTGAGCAATTTGCTGTCCGCCAAAAACTTGATTCCTTCGGGAGATTGAAGCAGCGAGTGCATCAAGGCGCAGCCAGCCCGCACATACTTTTGAGTGGCCCGCGTGTTCTTGACATTGGCGAATCTATACTTAAATGGTCGGTAGAAACTGATGATTCTCTTCATAAATTTTGATGCTTTGATAGCTTCTTCGAGTCGCTTGCCGCTCTGCAAAGGTCCGTCAATGATCCTGATAATGGTTTCCCAGTTCCACTTGGCATAGTTGGAGCTGTTCAGCACGTTGCTATCAATGAGGAGTTGCCTAAATGTAGCATCATCAAAAACCTGAGATTGGTGAGACTTGGGTGCTTCATCAAGTGCTGATAAGTCTGCATTATTGTTACCAGACGACAGCGCCCCTGATAAAGCACCCGACGGCGTGCTTCGATATAATGTCCGGCTGACGCTGCTGATTTGGTAAACGATCCCTGACGCTACCCAATGATCGTTATTGCCAATGTTAGCCGCCGATGAGAAGAGCTCCGGTAGTAAGTGAAGCTCAGCACTCCAAGATGGAGGCAAAAGGCGACTAGCAAGCTTGAGTACTTCGCTAATCAATAGGGTTGTTTTGCGCTGAAGTGTTGGATTTTCATCCCCTTGCGCGATCTTCAGGAGAATAGGTAGGAGACCTGCTCGTATAAAGACGGCGAGTAATAGGGCTGTGTAGTGCTCGACGAAATTTTGCTCGCCGCTATCCTCTTCCATGAATTGCGACTGACTCTTGTCCTTCTGGTTTGACTTTAGATTAGCCACTCGGCCATATGTCGTTAGTCTTCTTCCTGCTAAGAAAGATGTTGCCCATGCTGGTGGCTTGATGCGCAAAAGAGAGAAAATAAGGTCGAGAATAGTTTCGCGGACCACATCGCTGGGTAATAGCATGCTCGTGACAAAAGACCGGATTGTTCGTAGATCGTACATGCACAGAGTCATCAGCCCAGGCCATGACTTCAAAGCTGTTGCGATGGCTTTAGAATTCTGTTTCATAACGGTTTCGTTGGTGAGGAGGTGGTCGGTAAAGACAGTGAAGAGCGCCTCGAGGCCATAGCCTGGCTGTATGTACTTTCGTTTCCGAGGGTGATCGAGCAAGTATAAGAATGCAGATGTCAAACTCTCGGGGGCTTTGTAGACACCTTCTGAGAGAGCTTCAGTTAATGGTCCCAAGCCACCAGATGCCACCAAAAGTGCTGGATCCTGCACAATAAGCTCTGCCAGTGTCTCGATGCAGATAGGTCGTAGACGATCTATATCTCCCTCGACCGATTGGCCATTTGCTCGTCGATCCTCCCCATGCTCAGCGACTGCAACAACAGTGCGTACAACAGCTCGAGAGACCTCTTTAACTCCACCCTTGACATCAAGGAACGCGCGGACGAACTTGAGTGCCTGCTCCCGTTCAACATCCGCCTTGCGATAGTTATTCAGAGACCTGAAACTGTCAGCACAGCGGATTTCTCTAGGCTGTGGTACTTACCGAATTACTAAATAGTCGGTGTTCAGACTACGAATCTTCTTGAGCGATGCAACATCGGATATAGCATATCTCGTCATTCGATAGCCAGCAGCCACAACCTCGCGGCTTTCGCTCAAAAGCATTATCTGCATGCGGAGTCCAAAGACCGACCAAACTAGGTCATATTTGAGAGTAGGGTATCGCTGGAAAAGATCGACCAGTTGGTTTCCTCGTGAGACGTAGTACTCGGGCATCATGCCCTCCACTTCAAGAGCTTGAAGCAATTCAGCGAGCGCAAAAGTCGGGCTTTCTGTTGGCTCTTCAGCATCGGACTCTCCAATGGATCGTGTCACGCTCTGCGGTGAGCGCAGCCCAACGGGTCTAGCAGAGTCGATAGTATTGCTCTGTGTACGGTTTCGTTTTGGCGTATCTGGCGGTATTTGTCGTGTACGCTGGGCATCGGAGATCTTCTGGCGTAGGTCTTTAATACGCAGGTTGCTTGCGTTGAGCTCTGCCTCAACCTTCTGCCGTTGCTCTTTGGTCTGCTTCGCTTTCTTAGAGTTCAGCGCCTCGAGCATGTTCTCGCTGCCCTCCTTAATTTTCATCTCGCGGTTGAGTCTTTCTTTAAGATTTGCTAGAGCTTGCTCTGCTAGCGTGTCCGCGTCGTCCTCATCTACCTTGTCCATGAAGCTGCTCGGGTATACCGACCCCGCCTCTGTCTTACTCCCAGCCCGACTGCGCAGCTCTGAGCTGAAGCTGCCTGGAGCAACATTGAGACTGCTTCCCCTAGGCGCAAAGGAACCGCCTGAGGCGCCCAGATTGCGATTGTTGGCGCCATTGGGAGGCTGTAGACCAGAATCACCTCGATCAAAGCTCGTGCGGCCAGATAACTGCTGAGGTAGGCTGGGTTGTGAAGATTGGCTCGGAGGGGTCATTCCCTTTTGAGCTGCAGCAGAGGAGCTCAGCATGACAATGGCGAGCAGCCCACCGGTTGGGACTGGGCCCAAGAATGGTGGAAGGGCATTCGTCGATCAGCCCGTTGTCTGGTATGTCGAGTGCAAAGGATGCGATCGCGGTTTAGGCTCGTATACGGTACAATATCGTTTGGCGTAATGGTCGTGCCCGATACGTGGGGGTTCAAAGCGACAGCTGCAGCGAGAGTAATGATAATGTTTCTTCGTATGTATAGATATATCCGACCGCGTTTTTGTCGATCGCGTGGAGACGTTTAAATCTGGATAGAGGAATCGTGGTTCAAGCTGGAGTTTCGAGAGAGCGGAGTCGTCGCCTAGGTACCTGGTTAAGGTGCGTTTGCGTTGCGTTGCGCGTAGGTTTGGATCGGATTGGATGCGACACTTGGTGCATAGGAACCCAAGCAACAGTACAGCCACGAGCAAAAACAAAATGTTCAGATCAACAACATAAGAAATAACTAGATTGATGCCGGTAGACTACTGATGTAGATAGGCCAATATCAAGAGCAAAACGAAGGAGACTCGAAGAGCAGTTGGACAGGGTTCGATAGAGGAGCGAGCAGATGATTGGAGGATCGAGGTGAGAAGTCGTTGGTTTGCGGGACAGCCAGGGCCTAGAGTGGAGGCAGGCAGGACCTAGACAGGACCCAGCCAGATGGTGATGCATTCCATTTACAGGCACTAAAGCTAACCTGCAGCTCTATAAAATGCAGCTGCAGACTGCCCAGGCCGTCACTAAAAAGCAACTTTAAAGTGCCCTGGGATAGAAATCTGAAGATCTTGTAGAGTAGGTAGTGTGCTGTGGATACTCTGAAGAATGGAGTTGAACAACGAGGTATTCCTATTCAATGCCGAGATTATCATTTGATGTCACACAACAGTAGTATAGAGAAGAATCGTCTCAAACCAGACAGCCTATTATTACCATCTATTCCAGCCTCGTGTCAATTACCAGCCGCCGCCTTGTGATCAACTCCTTATCTTGAGTAACAATCCAACGTTTATCGTGTCTGTATAGCCTCAAAATCTTATTCAATGGATGGATTGGCGTCATGACTTTTACAAATCCTTATGTCTTGTCGGTTGAAGTTTCCTATCAGCAGTTCTCCCAACCATCTCCCCTTTGCTAAAGTTGCTTATCAGCATCTGGTAACAATGAACGAATCTTTGCAGAATATCATGGTATAAGTGCACTCGTAAAGGTGAATTTATCATTGTGTAGGTAGGCAGCTAATATGTATAGTCCGAGGATACTAAAATCCTGTTGATTTTGTCTTATCATGTGCTGATATTCAACCTTGGACCTGCAACTTTATCATGGCCAAAACACAACGACCTACCTAAGCTTGTCTTGTTTATCAAATCGTTTAATCTTCTGCATATTCACATCTCACAGAAATCATGCGGTCAAAGTCGCATTTTGACTAGGTTAACCCATGATAGAGATAAGATAGAGATAAGAAACTTGCATAGTCAAAAGTCCAATGCTTCAGGCGGACCCCGATATACCGGATTTCAGGGCATCGGCGTCCTCCGTAGCCCGGCACCGACCCTGATCGCCCCATTTCATAGCAACGCTTCAGTTCAATACCTTCCTTGCCAATTGCAATACCCGGCCTTGGCTCTTCGGCCGCAGGCGCTTCTTCTCGATGGATCGCCAGCGTCCGTCTCCGTCCGTTGAGCCGCTTGGGGTAGGTACTTTACCGTTGGGGAGCTGGCATTGTTATTAGGAGGGGGGCTGACGTTCCAACCGTCTTGTATATATATTAGAAACCTGTTCCCTCCCTTCTTTCTTTCGTGTCATATCGTGTTTGATCTTAACCTTTCTCATAAATCGCCATCTCCCTCAACAATAGTGACTCTCATCCTTTGTTGCCATATAGCTTATCTGAGACCATCATCATATACAGCTTCTGTTTTCATTCATTAACCCACGCCAAAGCAAAACACAAACCGATAACAGCACCAAAGTTATCACGATGCCTTCCGTATCTGCTGCTCGCTATGGCAAGGACAATGTCCGCGTCTGTAAAGTCGACCGCGATGCTTCTACTGGTGTTCAAACCGTGACAGAAATGACCGTCTGCTGTCTTCTCGAGGGAGAAATTGAGACCTCCTACACCAAGGCCGATAACAGTGTTGTCGTTGCCACCGACTCTATCAAGAACACCATCTACATCACCGCCAAGCAGAACCCCGTCAACCCTCCTGAGTTGTATGCCTCTATCCTCGGCAGCCACTTCATTGAGAAGTACAAGCACATTCACGTTGCCAACGTCAGTGTCAAGACTGTTCGCTGGGCGCGTCTTGAGGTTGATGGCAAGCCTCACCCTCATAGCTTCTCCAAGGATGGTGAGGAGACCCGAAATGTCGAGGTCCGAGTGAGCCGACAGGAAGGCATCGAGATCAAGAGCTCTCTCGTTGGCTTGACTGTTCTGAAGAGTACCGGATCTGCTTTCCATGGCTTTGTCCGTGACGAGTACACAACGCTCCCTGAGACATGGGACCGTATCTTCTCGACAGACGTGGACGCCACATGGAAGTGGAAGAAGTTCGACTCTCTCGCTGCTGTTAAGGATGCCGTCCCCAAGTTCGACAGTGCGCGTGAGGCGGCGCGTACTATCACCCTCAAGACGTTCGCCGAGGACTCGAGTGCTAGTGTACAAGCCACCATGTACAAGATGTCGGAGATCATCCTCGAGACTGTGCCCGAGGTCGCGACAGTCACCTACTCACTACCTAACAAGCATTATTTCGAGATTGGTAAGCCCAATTACTATCCCCATACTGGAGCACTCATACTAACTCGTCGATCAGATCTGAGCTGGCACAAGGGGCTCAAGAACACAGGCAAGGATGCCGAGGTCTACGCTCCCCAGTCAGGCCCTAATGGTCTCATCAAGTGCGAAGTGTCCCGAGACAGTCTGCAGTCAAAACTATAAGCCTGACAAGAATGTTGCACATTTCTTAATGAGAGAGGTCAAGATGTAATGACATGTAAGGCATCTAAGATGAAGATTGATACCAAGCGACTTGCTTAGATTCGATAATAGATATGAGATAATCGATTGCGTTTATCAACCCGTTGCTGCTTGTCTTTGATGGTGGTCAGTGAAAATGGCATCTTTCAGCGATTGCTGTAAACCGTATTGAGATCACAGCTGTTGACTTCAGTTGTAAAGCGAGTCAGTGATGATGCCCGCCTAGATCAAGGGGCCTCAAGCAATAACGTCTCGCCTAGTGACCCGGATTGGCAAGGCATTGGCTGACTTTGGAGCGTAACGAGAGACCACAGCATGGAAAACGTTGATAATTGCTTGATGCTAGGTCATGAATATACCCAAAATATTGGTACAGATAGTACAAGGACTTTCACAGTCCGCCCACACTACTCTTCAACCCAACCCATCATCCCATCGTAAACTGCCTTGCTCGCTTTATAATCTCTTTTTATCGCCCTCACGAACCTTTTCGACAGCCTTCTCCCATCCAGGCTTGCCCACCTGCACACCACTAAACCGTATCAAGTTCTGCTTGTACGGGTGTGCATCTCCCTCAAAAGCCTTGAGTCTCGCCAGCCGCTTGTCTCGTAGTCGGTTCTTGGGCAACATGCCGCGCACAGCCTTGCGTAGCACTTCGCTGCCTCCGTGCTGCTCCATGAGGACATCCATGGTCACCGTCTTGAGACTACCAGGTCGAGTCGTGTGTCGGTAGTATGGCTTTTGCCACTTCTTTCGGCCAGTTGTGTGAAGAGCGGCGCAGTTTGTGACAACAACGTAGTCACCGCAGTCGGTTGAGGGATCGAAGATAGGCTTGTTCTTGCCCATGAGGAGGACGGCGATGCGGGATGCGAGACGGCCGAGTGAAGGAGGTGTTACACCGGGCTGGGTAGATAGAGTGGCATGAGGAGCGGAAGCAGAGACACCGTGCCATACTCGAGAGTAGGCGAGTTTGGTCTATTCGACATTGGTTAGAACTGAGGAAGTTTTAAAGATATACATGAATTGCTCACCAGACCGAGAACTTGCGACATGCTGGAGGTCTCGAGAGAACGATCTCTCCAATAATACCTCCAATTGGTTCGATCAACCGTAGAACGGGAAAGGAGGGGTCGAGTCGCCGTAAAAGGTGCGTTAAGCTGTATCGCGAGATCTCCGACGCTGAAACGATCAACCAGAAAGTTTGGATCCAGATGCCAAGCAGTGAGTAGATTGCTGAGTCAGGATTTTGGGATCGTCACGTGTCTTTGCTCCAGGCTTGTCTCAGACTCTGTAGCTTAACGTCGCCCGATTCCCGAAGTCGCTGGTCCACTTCTTAAGTCGGGGGGTGTAACTCGGGACCCCGACGTAGGTTGACTTATGTTATCACTCAATTGTGGGTGGATTTCAAAGCAGCAGACAAAACCCGATCACGCTCGTGCTACAACCTCCTTCTCCTCTTCTTCTTGACAAATGCCTCCAAAGTTTACGCCTATTAGACTCTTTACAACTACATCTTTACTTGCTGTAGCCGGCTATTCAGCTTACCAGTACCGGTTTTCGAATATTAACTCTAAGACCACGCCCCCCACTTGTAAGTTCTCCAATTCATGGGCTTCTCTTACACTGCGAGTATGAAACTAACAGGCCAACACAGCACCCAAGAAGATGACTGTTGATAACTCGTTTGAGGTGCGCAGAAAATTCTGAACGATGACTCATGGCTGTGGAAAGGGGACGAGGAGAGTTGTTGAGATCTTTCACCACAGCAAGTATACTAATGAAACGTCTTGAAAACAGACCCTCTTTGCAGTTCCGCTGTCATGTGACGGCTGTATCAAAGCCGTTTCAGACTCTCTGTATAAGCTGGGCGGTATCAACAATGTCGAGGGTAACCTGGAGGACCAACTAGTATCTGTCAAGGGCACTGGTAAGGCGAACTTGTTTCTGGAAGCGTGTATGCATATACTGACCGTGCCGTTCTTCCAGCTGCCCCATCAGCTATTGTGGAGGCCATCCAAGCAACTGGTAGAGATGCCATCCTGCGTGGATCAGGAGCTTCAGACAGTATGTGAAATCTGTTTCCTTGACCATCTGTATTGTGTTTGAATCGCACTGCCGTGGACGATCCGTCTCTGCCGAGCATCAGCTTCGTTTCTTGATACGGTGCACGACTGACCTGAATCTTTAGGTGCTGCTGTCAGTATTCTGGAGACGTTTGAAGATCCTGTTGATGGTAACTACGAGGAACCCAGCCGGGATGTGAGAGGTTTGGCAAGAATGGTTCAGGTCAGCTCAGGGCGAACACTGGTCGACTTGACTATCCGTGGTGTCTCGCCAGGCACATATCGAGCTTCCATCCGTGCGTACGGCGATTTGAAGAATGGTGCAACCTCAACAGGACCCGTCTGGTCGGGAGATGATCAGAAGCTTCGAGGAGATCTAGGACTTGTTGAAGTTGGCAAGGATGGTAGAGGCGGTTCGTTCATCGACCACGGGTTTCAAATCTGGGAAGTTATTGGCCACGCCATGGTTCTGACAAGACAAGATGAGAAGGCCGAGCCTCTCAAGAACGATAAGGATACCGTTGTGGGTATCATCGCCCGAAGCGCTGGCATGTGGGACAATGATAAGACCGTGTGCTCTTGTACAGGCAAGACACTCTGGGAGGAGCGTAAGGATGAGGTCAATAAGGGCATGCTATGATAGCGAATCATTTGCCAAATCACGAATCGATGATAGAACGAACAAACATTGGCATTGGATAGCGTCGAGCATCGGACGAACTCTGACTTGTGGTATGATGTGTATGTATGCGTTGAAGAATCCTGTTCATCTGGTTAACAGCACAGCCTCCCCGCAAATTTGAAACACAGCCCTTGTCATGGGAGCCTGGCTTTGGAAGTAACTTGTGGAGGATCTGTAACGGGCGATCGTGCTGTGGCGAGATGTGGTGCGATACCAGACTCTGGGATAAGATTGAACATGGGATGATGGTTCGATGCTGATTCCAAAAAGGCAAGAGGCTTGACATATGACAGGTCCTTACGGAAGAATCAATTAATCTAGACGCCCATTCTCAAGTTCTTCGGAATTATCTCTTGCGGTCACAAGTTCTCGTGATAAAGAGTGAGAAACAGCTGATGGAAATGCTGTGACAAGGGCATGAACAGGAAGTGGATTCTTAGATCCACGGCCTCGGTGCATTGAGACTGAAGCCTGGCTGAGATGAAGATGAAACCTTCCAGACAAGCCACAGAATCATGGGCTTCATGCGAGACAGTGGTGTAAAGTGGTACCTGTATCAATGTTCCACAACGCTTTAAGTTGTTGCCAGGTACAGGTACGGCAGCTGATAATGTAGGGATAATGCTTAGTACATCTACCGATCATACTCGCACAACAGCCAATAGTCTTCTATATTCTGGCAGAATTCAAGACTGAGACGAAGCATAACGGGGATAGCATGGGGGTTTGTAAGAGAAGGACGGGAGCGGAAACACGGCTTGGTATTAGGGCAAACTCTCCGGTTTGCATAACAGATAGAGTCAAGATCTGATGCGACGATAAGAAACAGGAGAAGACGAAGATGAAGACGAAGACACAGACGAAGAAAAGTGATTGTTAACGGCTTATCTAGATCTGAAGTCTAAGACAATGCCGAGCCTTAGCGGACGAATGTTGGACTGCTGGCTAGTTGTGTTCCCCAAAATCTATTGGCTGTAACGAGAAGTAAACTGATAGCTGGGTTTCATGCAGAAATGGCATTGATTCTGGCTTACACCTCAAACAAAACCCGATTAAGCCAACTCTTAAGCCAAGACTGCTTGTTCTAGTTGTTGAATAAACATTGACTCTATTCAGGCTAAGCAAATCCTGACTTTAACTTCCATCTATCATCGCTACCTAGGCCATCTATCCTAAACCGTATAACCTTACAACTGCTAGCTGGGTACAAGGGTTTATAACAGCTTCCTTGTTGAAGTTAGCAACCTATGTTTGATGAGCAAGATCTCTGGGTTTTGGACGAGATAAACTATTTGCACTAGGTAACTACTGAATAATAAGACAAATTATTTGAACTCAATAATGTTTCAAAAATCTGGTGCCTGAATGCCATGACGTCTAGAAACATTCTGCTACGTCTTCGGGTCTCGGGCTGTAACCAGATTGTTACCCCTGGCAGGTTGGAAGGGCTCCATGGGGCTCCGGATCGCTATGTGCCGAAGGAAGTAATGCACCATCCTCACTGCTGCAGTCGCAGCTGTCGTAATGCCTCCTTGATAGAAGGGGTGAGTTTATATCCGTGTTGTGCTGTTGGCCAAGTTAGCAGGCCCGAAGAGAGAGGGAAACTTCAGCATTGTCATGCGTGATAGAGACAGGATGAAGGCACTGTGTGACAGTGTTACATTGGGTCTTTGAATACATATGTATGGATGCGTGTTGAGTGGCCGCATTAGCGTAGAACGCGCGCGGTAATCGAAGCAACAAGGCAAATTCTATGGTGAGATTTGGTCTAATAGATGAAGGACTTGCAGAGATGCCCACGGCAGCAGTCAGTTACCATGAACATGTGAGCGAGTATGTTAATTATGGCAACACGTATTTCATGATGCCGGCCTCGGCTTGGTACTCATCTCCGTTGCCATGGTCCCGTAGCATTGCCAAGATCGCTTGAAGCTATTAGGGTTGAATCTCGGCTGTACGTGGACAAAGACATAACGTCTTTTCCCGTCGTTTTTCTCCCACCGCAAGTTAGATCCACCGGCAATTATTGGACCTCGCATACAGTACCACTGGTGAAGCTTCTTTTGATCCCGTGCACTCGGGACCGAGATAGTCATGCCTAGTGCATCGATTGGATTTGCCATGATCCGTTGTCCTGGGCCTGACCTGTGGAGCTCACCGTTGGGTTTACGGGTTATCACTTTGACGGTCTGACCCAAGGCGCTTAGAATCAGATTAAAGTTGATCGAGAGACACGGAAGGCACGTCATTCGACACCAGCAGCTTGGATGCATTCAGTAGCGTCTTCAAGAGCTTCAGCCATGGCGCTGTACCGGGGTATATCCTGTAATTAATTGCTGTTCAAGTCCATTTCTGGTTGTTGGCACTTCCATTAGACGTAAAGAGGATTCGTAGTAGGCGCCGAGGGGTGGGCCGTCTAGGGAAGACCCTTGACTGGCATCCAATCACAAGGTGTGCCTGATAGTCACCAGCACCTGTGACAATCGCTGCAGCAGGTGCGTAAACTTTCCCCGTCGTCTAAGCAAACCCTGGCAGACCGTTAACCCCAAATCAACAACCAACGATCAGAACTCGGATCGAACCTTTCGATTCTCAAGGCATCTGACGAGGCTGAGGATTGCAGTGGTTCGATTCAACAGGAGAGCTGGTTTCATCACCAGCAGAATTTCTGGTAATCCGAATCGTCTATCTGCATCACATTCATCTAGTCATCTCATCACATCACTAACTACTCCTAGACTGATCTAGAACGGTTAGTGATGGATAGGCATGCGATACAATCTATCGGCGAATCTCACTTAGATCAGACCCTCATTCAATCTTCTTTTCGAAAACTACCCGAAATCGAAACGAGACGAGGAATTGGGCTGGCAGCTCAAACCCGGCCCGGTAAGAGTGCGATTCTCTTACAACAGGCTAGCGGTCGATCAGACGTTGCACATGCTGGATACATTTCAGATCTCAGATACAGATACCGGATACAGACTGCAGTTACAAACATTGTTGCTGGCTGTAGCAGATGGGAAAAGAAGAAGAAAAAGAAAACGCTGGACCCTTGTTGCACATCCCCCTGACCCGCCCTGCAGAGTGTGGTTGTAGAGAGTCAGGTCCCCTACATTATTGTAAACCGAGGGCTACAGTAACTTAGCCTGTGTGACAACCATCTCTTGACCAATTCCTGTCTTCTTTAGGCGCTGAGTCTAGATGTAGTAACCAGTAGTCGCCCGATATGTCATATCAAGTAATTATGCATTGAAATCACTCCCATCACCGCGCCATTGAGTCTTGGCTCGAAGTGATCAAGTAATAAATCAATATTCCGAGAAACAATCTCCCCTACAGGTCTGGGCGGTTTTGTTCTTGAAGGAAGTTTTCTGCTCTGCCATGTTCTTGCAGCTGAACCGGAGAGAAACATCCCACTTAACACCAGACCAATTCTTGGCTCTGTAAATGCCCTGCGCTGTTTTTACCAACTACGTATGATAGATACTGCCGAGAATGTCGTCTCCTCTTTTGAAATTGCGTCGATGAACAGAATTGTTACTGAATCGAGATCACACATTTTGTCTCATCTGTGGCAGCTACAGCTTCATCCGCTGACTTGATCAACAAGCGCGTATCAAGAATCCTTCATCAGCCAACATTCGAATATAACCAACAACTGAGAGCTGTAGAAAGCACCTGCATGAAGCAACAAATATCCATACGATCGAATATAATCTCCTCTCGATTAACTATCAAACTAATCCCTTTATTCATTTTTCACTTGCCTTTTTCTCCCTCCAAGCTAACGCCACTGGCTCGGCCGCCAAGCAATCGAGGTCTCTAGCTGCACCAATTGCTTGCTCAAGCAGGGAAAAGACCAACCGTTGCAAAGCTCCAGCCATCCACCAAGGGCAACCTCAGCAGCAACACCGCTCTTGTAGCGTAGTCTACCCCTGCCAGCCTTGGCTCGACCCCCCCCTAGCCCCTGTTGCTGGCATCCCCAGACCCCTGTACCCCCGTACCGTGCCTAGCGTGTGTACCTGCCCCGCCAGCGGACTTTACGGTTCACCTCAGGTGCAGGCGCTGCCCTCCGAATAATAAGTCGGCACAGCCCTCCATACATCTAAGCGCCCAGCCCAAACCAAACCCCCCATCTCTCCCTTCGACTTTTGAATTTCCATATTTACCACAAGATTCCTTCCATATCGCTCTTTAATCCCGACTCTTGTGTATTCCCAAAACGAACAATCTGACTATACTGTGGTACATTGCCCTGCAGCGACCATCATGTCGTTGAAACAGGTACGCTCTTCACCCGATATTCACTTCAGAGACGCCATATCTTGCAGACCAGCCCGCTAATACAATCCTTCCTACAGGAGATTGAGACCTGGGTAGCAGCCCTAGGTCGTTACGACAACAATGAATTCGAGGAGGCCCTTAACGAGTTTGGAAAGATTGGCGACACAAGCAAGATTCTATTCAACATGGGCGTGATTCATGCTACGCTTGGAGAGCACGAGAAGGCTGTAAGTTCTATCTCCATGGGAAACTCTCGTACTTTCATATATTGATCCCTCTCCTCCAGGTTGAGAGTTACCAGCGAGCTATCCGACTCGACCAATATCTCGCCGTTGCCTACTTCCAACAAGGCGTTTCGAACTTCCTTCTCGGCGATTTTGAAGAGGCTCTCGCCAACTTTAATGATACTCTTCTATACCTTCGCGGAAACGCTATGATCGACTACGCTCAACTGGGTCTTCTATTCAAGCTTTACTCCTGTGAGGTTCTTTTCAACCGAGGTCTTTGCTACATCTATCTGCAACAGATGGATGCTGGAATGCAAGATTTCTCGTATGCCGTCAAGGAGAAGGTAGTGGAGGACCACAATGTTATCGATGATGCTATCAGGGAGCAGGCAGAGGTTGGTAAACTGCAAGTTGCTTGTTGAAACTTTCTAACATCACACCAGGGTTATACCGTCTTCTCTATTCCTGTAGGAGTTGTCTACCGCCCCAACGAGGCCAAGGTTCGAAACCTCAAGACCAAGGATTATCTCGGCAAGGCTAGACTGGTTGCTGCTTCAGACCGTGCCAATGCCTTTACTGGCTTTGCTGGTTCTGAGATCAAGAATGCGGGCAAGACAGAAGTCAAGGATGACCGACCCCCAGACAACATCTCCTTCGCTGCCACAAACCTCGTCAAGCCTGGCCTGTCCTCTAGGAGGCAACAATCAGAGCCTCCCAACGGCCGAAATGTATTCCCGCCAACACCCCCACCGGAGAATGAGCGTCCCTCGCGAGCTGCTTCCGTTCGCAACCAGAAGCCCCAGTTGGCTAAACTCAACATCCAGCAGGCTGAGCCAAACCGTCGGTACGAGAAAGCGGCTTCACCCCCGGATAGCCGAAGGCCCATGCCAAGGTCAGCATCGACTAGCACTCGTGGTACACCACTGCAGAGGGAGCCCCCACCTCTGCAGTTGAGGCCCAAGCAGATTCCAGAGGAGACACAATCACCGGAGGATGTCTACGCAATGTACTCAGCAACTGATGGCTACCGAAACTCAAGAGGGTCAGCTGGCAGCCGACGTAGACTACCAACTCAGTTCTCCGAGGAGGAGGATGCCTCTGATTACGAGGGTACCATCAACGAGAACGACTTCGAGATGATTGGACAACGTCGAGGCCCTGGCTCTGTCAGGAACAGTCGTCGACCTGAGGTCTCAAAGATCCGGGTCAAGGTTCACGCTGATGAGGTTAAACTCATCATGATCAAACCTGATACCCGGTTTGAAACACTGAGCGACAAGGTCCGCGACAAGTTCAACATCAAACGCCGTTTCAAGATCAAGGTCAAGGACGATGACATGCCTAACGGAGACATGATCACAGTCGGTGACCAAGACGATCTCGAAATGGTGATCGATAGTGTTAAGGAGGAAGCAAGAAAACAACGAACAGAGACAGGAAAGATGGAGGTATGTTAACATCACTTACTTGAACTTGAATCTTCTGATCACTAACATCATCACAGATTTGGATCTTTCAACTTTAGATTTATACCCACACAGCGCATCTGTATTTGGACATTTATGACTTTTTCTTTTTATCACCACTGAGCGATAGCTCATGAGCGGAGAGACATCTCCAACGCCAGACTTCTTTCTATTTTCTGGCGGTCTTATCATTATCTTAATCTTGTATTTTTTTTCGAAGGCATGTCATAGTAGCCAGCATACCAGGGATTCATGTTAGAGGGAAGCCGGAGTTTAGGATTGGGGTTATTACCAGAGTAATCACTCGTCACAAGAGCATGGGAAAAGGGACCCAGAGAGGCAAAGTTCATAGTTAACATCAATCATGAAGTTATGACAGCATGTTGACTATAAACAATTGTTGTTACAATCAAGACGTACACATGTGAAGCCTGAGTAGTATCTGCAAATGTCTTTCCATATAGCTTATATATCGTTTGTGATACATTATGTTACATTGATTTTACAGCATAGTGATGATGACTGGTGTTTGTCTCTAAATATTGTACACGATCTATTCAGCAGCGGCGTTGGTCTCTGCAGTTATGGTTGCAGCTTCGTCTTTCCATTTTTGACGGAGACTCTCACCACCAGAGTCCAGCTCTTCCATCAGGTCCCGCACCTGGGTAGCACGAACTCGCCACTCAGCTTGACCTAGCACGCTGAAAAGAATGCGGGATGCTTTGCCGACAGCCTGCGGACTACCGATAGCGATCAGACGAAGGACACTGTGCAGGTCAGGTGCTTGATCAGCAGGAATACGCTCCAACAGGCGGTCGAGGGCCATTTCCCAGCTATCCGCCGAATTGACAGTATCTTGGACTAGGTCAATCAGATCACGGCGTGGAGTCTCGGTAGCAAAAGCTGCGCGGTAGGCAGCGATGGGTGGACGCCAGAACAAATATGGCAGTAGACGGGGTATGTCAGCGACAGAAGCGTATCGTGAAGTTTCTTGTGCGAGTATCTGGAAGGCATATGACTGTTGTGATGATTCAGATGATAGCATAGCTGGGACCAGAGTTAAGGGTCTGGGCCACTTTAGAGAGGTACCGCGCGGTTGGATGTGTTCGTAGTTGCCAGAAGTTCCCTCCGAAGACGAGGTAAATGCATGGACTTGGTCGATAAGGGGGTTGAGCAAGTTGTCTCTAATGAGAGCTTGTTCGCGAGGAGTGTGGCCGGAAAGAGGAGTCTTGAAAAGAAGATTGCGGTATTCATGCTGAAAGAAATCGAGCTTTTGGGGGTTAAGTTTGATACCACCACGAGTAAACTTGTACGACAACTGTTTCGCCGGTTAGTACTTGCCAAAGAGTTTTCGGTTTATATCAACCGGCAGCACGTACGTTCTCAGCCACATCCTCCAGAAACCGTGGTGTCTGAGCCCCTTTCTTGAATGAAGCGCCCAGATTTGCGAGCCAGGCTTGTAGAGCCATGGGGAATATGTTCTGTTCCATATACGTCGAGAGGTTAACGCTGGCATTGCGCTTGCTGAGCTTGGATCCGTCGTTGCTAACGAGAAGACCCAGATGCGCGAAGGTGGGAGGTTCCCAACCAAAAGCCTCGTAAAGAGCCAGATGTTTGGGTGTCGAGATGAGCCATTCCTATATACTGTGAGAATCATGACCACAAGAAGATATAGGTGTATATACTAACCTCGCCACGGATAACATGAGTGATCTTCATGAGATGATCGTCCACAACATTCGCAAGGTGGTAGGTAGGAAAGCCATCAGTTTTCATAAGCACAAAGTCCTCTTCGGGCTCCTTCTTCTGAAAGGGGCCATAGATAGCATCCTTGAACTTTGGCGTGCCGAAGCGGCCCGAGTTCAGTCGAACAACATGAGCCTCGCCCTTAGCGGCTCGCTCATCAGACTCGGAGCGAGGGACGGATCGGCATGTTCCTGGGTATGCTGTAGATTTGCCAGCGTCGTGAAGAGCCCGCTTCTGGGCTTCGAGAACTGACTGGTTACAGAAGCAGCGATATGCGGAGCCGTTGTCGATCAGAGTCTGTGTGTGCTTCTTGTAGGTATCAAGGCGTTCTGACTAGTGATATCTCAGTATGAGTCCGATTTGCAGGTTCAGTGAAAGGTTACCTGTCGGTAGGGGCCATATGGACCACCTTTGTCAGGACCTTCACTCCACGAGAGACCAGCCCATTCAAGGTCTTTGAAGATGCGTTCCTCGGCATCAGGCACCAACCGGTTCTTTTTGTGTTAGCATGGTTGTAATCTCAAACAAATGGACCCAGAGACAGGCCTACCTGATCAGTGTCCTCAATTCGAATGATGAAATCGCCCCCTTTTGTTGCCTTGGCTACCAAGTTGTTGAAAAGAGCTGTTCTGAGCGAGCCCAAGTGTAGATATCCAGTAGGAGATGGTGCAAAACGTGCACGAATTGGTTTGTCGGCTGATTGTCCAAGAATGTATTTTTGGCTTGGTCCATCTTCTTTAACACCAGCTTTACTGGCACTTGATGTTTGGCTACGATTTTTCAAGGCAGCTAACCTTGATGTTTTCTTAGCTGGCTGTCCATTTTGTTTCGTTTCTCCAGTAAGACCTTCAATATTGCTCTTCGCTATATCAGAATTTTGATCATGTCGAACTAAGGAACTGGTAAATCCCCGACGGGCTGGTATTGTCGATTGACGGAGGATCTGAGCTTGTATTAAGCTTCTCGATAGCCGTGTTGAGCGGCGTAATAATGGTGTCATGATGAAAACGAAACACTCATGATCAATTATACTAATAGAGGTGTGAGTGAGTTAGACGAGTCTCTCATGAGTTGCAAGATATTGCGGCGGTGCATTAATTGAATGAGGGGTGCGCCACAATGTGGATGTGGCAGATGTTGAAAGTTCTTAGCGATAAGGATTAAAATTTCTTATCAGTGAACATAGAGACGTTGAAGATATTAGATATATCCCACTGCTCATAGGCCACAGGTTTGTAAAATCTTAAGCGCATTTGAAGAAGTTTATCTACATAACATGGGAAGAGCAGAAGTATAATTCGGTTCCTTTTGAACTTTCTGAAGAAAACAGCGACAATGGCGCTGCTATATTGTGAGGGTCACAAATAAAGTAATGGAGGGGCACAGGAAATAACAGGCGTCAACGAGAGTGACGCATCCAGGACTTGCAGAACACATGCTATTCAGAAAGACTATATAAAAAGGAGAAAATGAGTTACTATTGTGTTGTAGTTTCATCTATTAAGTTAATTAGATGCATCAATACCTATTATTGAATCAGTTATAAAGAATTGTGTTGCTGCTACTGCACGCAATTGGTACAGTACCCCGCGCTACAATCCACGCCAAAAGATTTTCTACGGGTCCCTGCCAACAGAGTTGATCGACAGAGCGGACCAATTCTTCATCCTGCATTACATTACAAGTACTGTAGCCTACAGTATCTTTTTCAACCTTCAAGATGGATGACCCTTTTAACGCTGGCTCTCCGGGCCCGGAGGAGGTAGATCTCTATGGTAAGTTTGTGTCGCTCTTCAGGAAAAGATTTACTGCAATAGTCGCCCACTATCGCTACAGTTGAGTGGTTGATAAGAAGAAATGGCTAACTCGGCTGAATAGAACTTCTCGAAATCGACAGAACCGCGACACCAGAACAGATCAAGAAGGCTTACCGAAAGGTTTGTGATCACAACTCCTAGCGAACCACAGAACAACCCCTCACAAATTTTACAATAGGCCGCTCTCAAGTACCACCCAGACAAGGTCGCCGAGGACCAGCGAGAAGAATCAGAAGTCAAGTTCAAGGAAGTCACACAAGCCTACGAAATTCTCAGCGATGAGCAGAAGCGCGAGATGTACGACGTTCACGGCATGGCCGCCTTCGACAAGTCCCGCGGCGGTCCCGGCGGTCCTGAGGTCGACCTCAACGACATCCTTTCGCAGATGTTTGGCTTCGGCATGGGTCCTGGAGGTCCTGGTGGTCCTGGCGGCCCCGGCGGTCGAAGCCGACCTAGACGCGGTCCCGACGAGGAGCAAGAATACAAGGTGACACTGGAGGAGCTTTACCGTGGCAAGACTGTCAAGTTTGCCGCCAACAAGCAGGTGCTGTGTGGTCAGTGCAAGGGCTCCGGCGGCAAGGAGAAGGCCAAGTCCTCGTCTTGCGAGCGCTGCAAGGGTAACGGTATCGTTGAGGCATTCCGACAAATCGGCCCCGGCATGATGCGACGTGAGACTGTTCTTTGCGACCACTGTCAGGGTGCTGGCCAGGTCTTCAAGGAGAAGGACCGATGCAAGAAGTGCAAGGGCAAGCGAACAACCCAAGAGAAGAAGGTTCTCGAGATTTACATCCCCCGCGGATCCATGCAGGGTGAGCGTATCGTTCTCGAGGGCGAGGCCGATCAGTACCCGGACCAAACGCCTGGCGATATTGTTTTCACACTGGTTGAGGAGCCCCACGACTTTTACACTCGCATCGGTTATGATCTGTCTGCTGAGTTGACTGTGTCGCTTGGAGAGGCTCTATCCGGTTTCTCTCGCACAGTCTTCAAGCACCTCGATGGACGAGGCATTCATATCGAGCGACCCCGAGGCAAGATCCTGCGACCAGGTGACGTCCTCAAGGTTCCTGGTGAGGGTATGCCCCTGAAGCGTGGTGAGACCAAGGGCGATCTCTACCTGATTGTCAAGGTTGAGTTCCCCGAGGATGGCTGGCTGAAGGACGACTCAGAGTACGAGGCTCTGCAGAAGATGCTGCCCGCTGCTCCCGCGAACGTTGAGGCTGAGGAGGTTGATGAGGTCGAATATGAGGACGACGCAGATATTGAGAAGGTAAGCATCTCCAACCACCACATCCATGCATGGCGCATAGCTAACTTGATGACAGATGGGCGAGAACTCAGGCGATGGCCGATTTGGCGGTGACTGGGAAGACGATGAGGACGACATGGGTGACGGTCAAGCTCAATGCCAAACGCAGTGATCGTATACGTACTCCGATCAGTAGCACAGATAGAGCAGGTCTAGAACTGCGAGGTTTCCGCCCTGGGTTAACGAAGCGACGACTATTTCGGGTTCAGGGGGGCAGGTTGGACGCTGCCATGGCGATGGCGGTGAGCCAAGACTGCCAGCGCGAAGGGCTCAGCAGGAACCTTATCAAAAAAGGAAGAATAAGGCTGAAGACTATGTTCGGTTTGACAATCTCAAGGCCAGAGACGATATGATACCATACCACATAAACCACTTTTGGAATTTAGGAGGGACAATCTTGCTGTTGAAGGCGAGGTCCCATTCCACCACATGGCATGCATGATAGATAGATATTCGTGTAAATATGCGTTGTAGACCTGGGAATTACTGCGACGATTTGGCAATATGTTGTAGCTCTGTTGTGCGATTTATGAAATGGGAAGAAAGAAGTTGAAAGAAGGAAGAAATTATCCATGCCTTCACAATGGTGCTACCGATGTAATACTAAAGCCAGACCCACCACCTCTTTGGACCAGCAAACTTGGTCAAATCAACTTACACTAAACAACTCGAAGTCGATCATTTCCTCTGATATGAGTTGTAATTGATCCTATTGTACCAAACTTAGATGGTTTCCGATATGTATGCACACAATCCGACACACTGGGTACCTATGGTACCTCATGAACACGCCTCTGATAGCCGCTATGGAACGCCTTGAACAACCTTGATGGAAGAGGGTACAGGCACCCTTCAAGAGGAGTTGAGCCTTGAATAGCCTAGACAGTTGGTATATAAGATATCCCGGCTGGCTGCGTTGACTTGCATCCTCTGACATCTTGCTAAAAATCTCCAATAATGTTGATATGAGCGTTGATATCGAGCATCGTTTGGCACAGACTCATACCCATCACATCAGGCCCCACCCCCGCCATTTGACGTAATTCTAAACGGTTAGCACTAACATCAACTTAACCTCCTTCAACACCAAGACTTCAACCTTATCTACCTACAATGTCTCGTAAAGGCGTAGGCCTAGCGGCCTTCGACCGCTCACGTCTCACATCAGCACAGTTCGCTTCTCACGGCTCGTCTCTCCGCGCCAACAATGCCCAGGCTCTTGAAACCCAGCTCGCTGTCTTTCGCTCTCTTCTCCAGCAGTTTGCCAACACACACGCTCGCGATATCCGCTCTGATCCTGCGTTCCGCGCCCAGTTCGCTCGCATGTGCGCAGCTATCGGCGTTGATCCTCTAGCCAGCAGTAACAGTAACAGTAGTGCCGACGGGAGCTCTATATGGGCGCAGTTGCTGGGAAAGACGGTCAACGATTTCTACTTTGAGCTTGCTGTGCGCATCGTAGAGGTCTGCGGCGCTACGCGAGGAGAGAATGGAGGGCTCATCGGTTTGGCTGATCTGAGAGAGCGCGTTGCTGCAGGACGGATGGATGGCGCTGACCCTATCGCTGACGACGACGTTCGGCGCGCGGTTCAGACACTTGCTCCGCTGGGCGGCGCATACGCTGTTGTGCGCGTTGGACGCAAGGAGTATGTGCGTAGTGTACCCCGGGAGCTTAACGACGATCAGGTCTCCGTTGTCGAGGCCGCGCAGGTGCTGGGTTACGTGAGTGTGGGTATGTTGAGAGATAACTTGGGTTGGGACAGGGCCCGCGCCAGGACGGTGATAGACGATCTTGTTGCGGGAGGTATGCTATGGGTTGACAAGCAAACGAAGGGCGAGTGGGAATATTGGAGCCCTGGGTTTATGGCTGCTGGTTCGGAGGAGGGAGGCTGAGAGGATCCAATCCCCCGGTCGCTCTTCCTGCGACCGAGGTGACAAGCTCTCAGAACACAAGCGATCGTGGTGCAAAACATACGTTTCGACCCAAGGGTTTACCTTTTTAAAATCAAGATACCCACGACGTACGGCCTTTGACCATCATGCGCTGCTGGGATGTTCCGCATACCTCAAGACAGAGTCCAGCCTGAGCACCCACAAACCATGACTGCGAGAGCACTCGCCAGATGCCGAGGCGGTTCGAGAAATGCCCACGACAAGACAAGCAATGTTACATGCTGCTTGACCCCTGAAGATCGGCAAAATAGGAGAGCTCATCAAAAAGTCTTGAGATCTGCCAACTTTCGAACAACACTATGGGTTCGCACCCACTCTCGATCAAATACGTTACCCGAACAAATCTAGGTTCAACTCCATCAAGAGCTAGCCAGACGGTTAGAACACAGCAGATGTATTAAAAAGGGTTACAATACTAGTTCATTTCATTATCCAGCAGCTCGCACATACAAACATACATATCCTAACATCTGCCTCCACCATGTCCTTCGCCAAAATAGAAACTCTTGTAGATACATGCTCAACAGTCTGAGTTCAGGACAAGCACCTGTCCTACTCACCCCCTCATCTCGGGTATATACTTGTCAAGCGACGTGGCCCATCCGAGCACGGTTTTGTAATCATCCGCTCGCTACCAAGAAGCCATCGTTCGCTTACTCTCATCTCCACATTTCCCTCCTCTTTAAAGCCATCGCATCCCCCATTATCGTCTTTTAACTATCTTCTTGGCTTCACCGGGCTCGGATCGACGGTTGAGATTGTGCCGCTTAGTAGGGAGGGTTGGGACCGCCGGGACCGCCCATGCCAGGAGGAGGGTAGTCATCGGGGCGGCCTGGGCGCATGTCGCCAGCGTTAGATCGGCGGTCGTCACCGAAGTGCTTCTTGCGGAGAGCTGCAAGGCGCTTCTTCTTGGTAATCGTGTTGATGTATGTGCCGATGATGAAAGACACGATGTTAAAGAAGGGGATCCAGAGCTGGTCAGGGAGGAACTTCTGGGCGAAAGCCAGGCAGATGGGGGAAGTGATCCACGAAACACGCATCACCTTCCAGAAGCCAACCTTGACGGTGGCACGAACCTGGTGGTAGGTACGAGCACCGGCAATGAGAGCCATGGCGACCAAGTAGACGCTGTTTTGAATGGGAGCAATCTGGGATTATGGTTAGCGACTCGTTGCAAACCATTTTCAGCCCATTCAGATGACGCTTCATGGTGTTCCTCTCAGGCTAGCCATGTTATAACCGCATTATGTGCGGCTATTAATCGCAGACTTAATGACAAGCCATTTCACGCGACATCTGAACAGACCAAAGGAGTAGTTTGTTTACTTACGATAAGATTGCTGACAAGAATCTGCAGAATCTTGGCGCGCAGGCTGGTGCGTCCCTTGAAAGCCTTCTGAAGTGCCCAGATGAGGAAATGACCCAGAGGAGCGCTGATCAGAGCGCCATAGGCGGCCATCTTGGGGACACGAGCAGTGAAGTAGTTGCCGTGCTTGTTTCGGTCCTTGGCGAGCCATGAAGCGAAGAGCTCTTGTGTACCAGCTAGAGTACCCGCAGTGAGCATCTTGGTACGGAGAGGGTTGTCTTCCAACTCCTTGATGTAGGCCTACTCGCTCGTTAGTACTGACCAATGCTATCCTATCTGCAATCCCGCAAAGGCATAGTCGTACAGCTAACAGAGTAGCTTATGCGCCTCGACTCAAGGGATCGAAAAATTTGCTGAACTTACCGCAAGGTAGCCCTTGGTGCCAGCATTTCCCATACCACCAGTCAATGCTGTGCCGATAACAGCAGAAACAGGATGTTTACCCTTGGTACCGGGAATGTTGCCAGCCTCAGCCTGGTCAAGCATGCCGCCGAATTTACCGGTAGCATCGTGGACCTTTTCCGAGGCATCGTGGATCTTTTCCGACACCTTTTCCTTAAAATCGGACATGATTGCTATTATTTGACGGTATGTTGGCGATAAAAGGTGGAATTAATTAAGCGCGTGGCTGGTCGAGATTGAGTTAAGGGTATTGTTTAAGTTCGCCTCAACGTCAACTGCTTCAGATTGAAAGATTGAATCGACCAGTTGGACCTTTTCTTTTCGTATTGACGGTGCGCGCGGTGGCTTTGTCGTTGCGGTCGTCGTAACGGTCCTCGTCGGATGTTATCGTCAAAGTCAACACAGCCGCGACGGCGTCATCAACAGCTCCAGTCAAGGGTCAGACGCGCGAGATAGACTTTATCTAAACAGTCAGCCAAGATATTCAGCTTGGACCGGTGGGGTTTAATATCCGTGTGGACGTTGACGTGGGGATAGAGGGAATGTGCGCGCTCAAAAGACCAGCCGATGGACACGACGACAAGGGATGACAGAGAAGTTTTAACAAGACAGAGGATATTGATCGAGGGAATGATAAGAAAGAGCAGATGGAGGTGGGTCGGACCAATTGAGGTTCTCTCAATACGTCTAGCCAATGGCTTTGTTTACTCGATCAACGGAAGCGAGATTGGAGAGGTAGGAGGAAGGGAACAGCTGGGGAAAGTCGATGATGGATGGACGGATGAATACGGACAGAAAGATGGCTGGGCTGGTGATGGATGAATGCAACGGTTTGTTGGTTACATGAGGTACATGTCGATTGAAGCCGAGTCCAGGGTAATCAGAATAGAGAGTGAAGTGGAATGGTAACTTACAAAGCGCCGGTGCCGTAGATTGATTGATGATGATGATGAGATGAAGTTGGCGAGATGGGGGAGACGTGGACGGGAGTGGAGCGAAAGCTGGGTTGTTGGTGTTGATTTGTTTGTCTCACGCTGAGGTGATCTGGGGGGGCGGACCTTTGGGACCTTGCCTTGGACCTTGGACTGGACCTGGCTGGGCTGGGCTGGGAGATGAGATAGTACTGAGGAAGTGAGGTGCCCAAGCTCAGCTCACTCCAGAGACAGAGCTGCAACAAGACAGGGGCAACAAACCAAAGAAGGTGGCTGGGAAATGTAGATCAAAAGTATTTTTGTTCTCTCGTATAGCACTTGAAGTACTTTAACAGTACATCATAGCGCTAAACCTCAGAGCCTCGGCCCGCTGTAATTGCTGACAATCGAACCAACCACATCACGCAGAGAAAAAGAGTGTTTACCCCTGGTAAATAAATGAATGGACCTCCACTCCATTCGGCAGCTTCAGCTACAAGGTACCCGCGGGTCCAGCTCCCAAATTGGCGAGCTTCGGCGGGCCTCTGAGGGACCCATTGGTGCTCCATGACAACCCAGCTTCCTCTTACAGCCAGCAATCAGCCCGACCTCGAGCTTGAAAATACCACCCGTTTCTTAAAGGTTGAGCCACAGTACAGTACTTCTCTTCCCTTCTTTCCCAGCGAATAACATCCCCCCTTCACTGCGCTACAACCTTGACAACTCAATCCCTCTGCACATAGTGTATCACCACTATTTCTTACTCACATTTTGACTCGCTTGTCCTGCACGACACTGCAGGATGTACATAAAACTACCGAGGTGGCCTAACCGTCTTAGCCTCTTCGGTAATCATGGCCGGGTGCGCGTTGAAAAGAGAGTGGCTGGCTGGGTCAACGCCAATGCCAATTATCTCTCACGCACGTAATACCTTGTTTACGCAGGGATTTATTCACGTGCAAACGGATCACGCCAACCACCAGGTATCCATATATCTATCCATCCATCCATGTGTACGGAGTAGCGTCTTGATACTAGAGAAGCCAATGTGTGTTTATATATATAATATGCAAATGTCCTATCCACAGAGTCACACTCTGAAAGGTAGGTAGTCTCGAAATGGTGTAACATGCCAACTTAAGGCCCGAGGATTTAATTCATGACAATCCTTTCCCAGAACAAGATCATGTCCCTCAAACGCCTTTCACCTGTAGCCTAACATCAAGGACCGTCTTCATGGACATGTCCAGAACCCCAATTCATATCCCCAAAATAATCAAGTCGTTCAACGAACCAAGAAAAAGATCTTACTTTCACACAGAGATAAACACCACTGGTTGGGCTGTCGAAGTCCAAATCCAGACCTTTAATCTCTCTCCCACTGCTGCTCTCAGAGCGAACCTCGAAGTCTCTGCTTTCTAGCCAACCAGTCTCCGAGCATGTTGTCGAGTTGCTATGTTGCTGTCAGTTCTTGGTTCAAACAAAAGATCGTCTCATAAGATAGTGATAAAACTTACAGTAGTAATCTCCGCTAGCTTTGCGTTTTGCTCCCTGAACATCCCGCTGACCACTGGATGGTCCTTGCTCACAGGCTCAACGTCTGTCTTATCATAAACGACCATGAGAAGGTCTCGGACATGCTCGCCATCGTCAAAGAAGGCACGTAGCTTCTCGTCATCCCAGCCAGGCTCTTTGACGCTTCTCGTTGGGCTGACGTCTTTTGGTGTTGCATCTCCAGGCCCAAGCTCTGGTGACGGTACTTCGGATGATGATCGTCCATCTTGAGAGGATGTGTCGACCTCCAATGCAGGTGGTCGTACTCCATTAACAGGCGACACCTGTATTGGTGATTCTGACAGACGGCTCTGCTGCGCGCCAGGTTCTGTGGTAGCTGGAGGTTGCTTGGCAGTTGCATCGAAACTGTCCGGGAATGCCCCAGGAAGTTGTGGCCGCAAAATACCTTCAGGTTTCTTCTCAACACCCTGTTCCGGTGTTGTTCGAGTGGTTGGCTGAGATGCGGTGTCATCATCGTCGTCATCGTCATCAGAACTAGTCAATTCATCAACATCCATGAGGGGGCGAGGCTTGCTTGTCCGTGTCGTCCTAGGCTCATCTCCTGTGCTGGCACTGCGACCAAGTGCCCTAGCCAACGCCTTCGTATCATCATGCTGCGCAGCGGCCGAAGAGGCCCGTGCTCTGGAGTTGTTGTTCCCGAATTGCGTACTCGACGGCACTTCATGAGTCTCCTTGGTCTCGGGGTTCACAATGCGCATTGATGCGGGTGGTACGTTTGACACATCGTTAACCCGAGACTCAGCCAGGTAAGCAGCCAGCTCCATCGTCGATGATGGCTCGCCCTTTCCAGACGATGTTTCGTTTCGGGGTATCTGTTTCTGAAGCTTGCTGGTGCTTCGTTGTGGCTGTCTCTCTGGTGATGCAACCTCCTCGATCGACTCACTATCTCGGGGCTCGGAGGTCATGTCCATAGAACGTTTTCCAAAAGATTCGTCGTCATCGTCCACCGACTTCTTTCTGTCCTTTCTGGAAAAGAAACTTCGGATCGCGCTTGGCTTCTTTTCCTTCTCTTTTCGGCTCTTGTCTTGATGCTTCTTCTTCTCTTTATCGGACATGAGCTCCTTATCAAGCTTATCGATACTTCCCCTGGATCTATTGTCCTTCGTAGAATCTTGCGATGGCCGAGACTGGTTGTCGTCTCGCAATAGGTTAGGCGTAAGAGTGATCTTCTTGGTTTCGACAGTCTCGTCTCTAAAGAAAGAGTCGGTGTTCCTGACAGTGCCGTTGCGGGATCGACTTGGCCCTTGCTCTTTGTCAAATAGAATATCATCACTGCCCCTAGCCTCATCCTCTTCTTCCACGGTGTCAACCTTGGAAGGCTCCATAGCCATCTTGACTTCCTTGCCTGAGCGAGGCTTCAGCGGCTCAACCCTGGCACTCTCCTCTGAGGAATCGTCCTCGACAATCGATATCGTTTTTGTTGCATCTCGGGTATCTTTCTTTTGCTCTTGTTGCTGGTCTTGCTTAGCGGAAGTGCTCGAGCTGGCGAACAGATTGTCTATATCCTCTTCATCACTGGAATAGTCGTCGATTTCGGTATAGTCATGGTAGGTTGGCGAAGTAAAGGTAACCGTCTTACGTCCAAATCTGATAGGTGATTTGAAGTTTTGTGCCTTTTTCTCTGCCGTATCCCCAAGCATGGCCGAAGAGAGCTGCAATGCATGTCAGTACAAGACCCCGTTTCAACGTTTCCGTCAACATACGTCCACATTTCTGTGTTTGTTCAAGCGAGCGAGTCGTTCTGTTGGAGTTTCGATGTGCTCTGCGGGCAAATATCCTAGCATGGTGTCAGTTGCTGCAACAAATCTGTAACCAGATCGAACTAACCAATACTACTGTCTTTGACAACCCTGACTAGCCACCAATAACTGTTGCTGTCATCCAGCAGAACCATAGTGTCACCTTTGGTTGCATTTGCTTGTCCTTCGACCGTAGCCACAAATGTGTGCAGCGCGTAGACGAATTCGAAATCAATGTCCTCTATGTCTTGTAAGCACTCGACCGCCCAGCCGGAATCAATGAAATTGGGGTCGTCAGGAAAGGAGAGTGGAGGATCATCGTCTTCGAAGGATTCTTCATAAGGAACGGTAAGCGTGGGGTCGTATTCGGCGCTTTCGTCGTCGTTCTCGTTCTCATCGTCGTCGGTCGAATCGGAGAGGTCCAGCATCGGGTCGCAGTCGTAGAATATGTCCTGGTCCTTACTCTCAATCATTGTATCTCGTGTACCTGGCCTTTCAGAAGAAGGCAGCTAGCCTTTATTACTGATGGGTCCTATCTGCACCTTCTCATATCTGGCAATGGCCTGCTGAGCCTTGGTCTCCTCCCCGTGATCAAGAAACTCGACTGTTGAGTTAAAGGTATCCCAACTTTCATCGTCATCGGATTCGGCGTCGTTTTCGTTGTCGTCGGTGTCGTAGCAATCGGTATACTCACCCTGAAGACGATGGCTCCGGAAATGTGCTGGTGGTTCTGGCAGTGCTCGTGATGGCAGTGCAATTGTGTTTGTGTTGGTTATGTGTTTGAGAGGTGCGGGATATGGCGAGTCAACTCTGGTGCCGCTTGAACCAGAAGTGAATGGAGCACTGCTCCCAATGGAGGAAGGTAATGACGAGACACGGCGCGGCCATGCCATAGGGGCAACAGGGTAACACCCACCATCTTCAATCGAAGGCGAACTTGAGATCTTATCCATCATGTCGTCATCGAGGTCATCGTCGCCATCGAGCTCGCCTTCATCGGACGACGAGACGCCGCCATTCTGCGCAACTGCCAGTGCATCCTCATGGACCATTGTGCTATTGTTATTATCGCGAGCGCCTTGAGCGCGAGGCTTTGCACCTGAAGCGTCTGCGGCAAGCTCGTCGGCAAAGGAATCAATCTCGTCGAGGCTATTGCGATTATCTAGAGAAACTCGAGGGGACCGGCTTTGTTCGTCTGCGATGTCGTGTGAGATCTCGCGAATAGTCTCAGCTTGGTGGGGGCCAAGGGAGTTGGCAGTACCAGCCAGACGTGGGCTTTTGGAGTGATCTTGAGCGGAGGGAGCGTGGTGATCTTGAAGGTCGATAGTATCTGCACTCGAGCGAAACGATTGCGAAGGTCAGTTTAACGTGTCATTGGGAAGAAACGCAGGACCGCGAGGAATGGAAAAATAAATGTCGAAGCCAGACGGTGGAATGTATCGTGGCTTGCAGCGACCCCGGAGGTGAAGCTTGGACAATGAACTGGGGGCAGGGATAAACGAGAAATGAGAATGCAACGTAGAAGAAAAGTAATCAAAGAAGGGAGGAAGGGAGAGGTTGACGATGGAAACCAAGGGTTCCAGCACAAAGTGTTTTATAAAGGGGGCAGGGGGGAAGGTGTGTTGTAAAAAGAAGCGATGAGACAACGGGAGGATTAGCTAGAATGAGGCTGCGCCAAAGTCGATGCGCCTCAATTTGCAAATCCAGATCCCAAATCTCAAAGGCTGAGACTTATCAGGGGAGCATTGGGGCTGGATTCTGTCTCGAAATGCCGTTCCAGATACAAATGTAAGAGAGAGATAGCAAGGCGATCATCACGTACCGGCACGGACAATCGACGGTCGTGTCATCATGTATAGCCAGAGACGGGCGTTGCCGTCAACAAGTCACTCTGACCTTGAGGCTTGTGACCCCTGGCTCTAGCAAAGCGCCTTCTTAATTTTTAGGTACAGTAATTTTTGTCCCTTGGGGCGTTCGGTCGCTGACGGGCTGGGCTTGGGGCCGTTTCTTGCTGTTGGTCTCTCGTTGCAACCGGGCTGCAGATCCTTGAAAGGCTATTCTTGCTCGTGTGTGGCTTTGTTTATTTTGTTTGTTCGCCCGGCTCGCTGGGGTGTTGCTGCGATATAAAACTTGGAGAGAACGGTCGTACTCGATTTGGTGTCGTTCAAGGAGGTACAGAATGACAATTGTGTTCGTAAAGGTCGAATCAATGTGCCCGATGGCCAGCCACGGGCTCGTTCAGCATGGAAAATGAAGCTGGACCTGGTTTTTGGGAAAACTGGAGAGAGGGAGAGAGCGACGATCTTTTGTTCCGTGTGAGGGTGGAAAGTTGACCTAAAACTAATAATAAAGTGAACTTGGCCTTGCTGGCCTGGCGCGGCGCGGCGCGGCGCAAAAGGTTGGTTGGTTGGCGTTTGGTACGAATGGTGGTCCAAGTTTCGTTTCTAAGTGGAGCGGGCCCTTTTTTGGTGTAAGGAACAGGAACAGACCAGTAGGTGACAAGCGACCTACACTGATACTGATACTGCCACTGCCACTGCCACGGGCTGACACTGAGTCTTAGCAAGAGATATGACCGACTCAGGAAAAACAGATCTAACCTAATCAGCTTCAAGTCTTTTCTACAATCTTTGTACTGTTCGATTAAAAGTAACGAGACTATGGGCATCATCAGAGACCTAAATTCGTATTGCCAAGGGGGATGAGCTGGTACAAGCAATGCCGTTTCAGCTATACAGATGAAATAGATAAATGACAATTGACATGACAGATCTAACAAAAGACACAAGCAACAATCTAGGGCCGAATGGCAATAAAGAGGTCCAGGCGTCTAGCCAGACGAGTTGATAGTAGGGGGCATCAGATGGTTTCAACTGACTCTCCCTTCAAGACCGTTGAACCAGTTAAAGTAGAGATCGCGATCTGGACAGCATTGATAAAATATGTCACGTATTAATAGAGTCATGCTCATTGATTATGGTTTCTTAATTGAACTTCTATCAAGCTTTACGTTGATAGGTATCCAGGACAGATGCCGCAGATCACTGCGAACACAGCATATCTCAACCCTGTTTTATTTTGGAAGCTATTTCGTCATCTTTATTACAAGATGGAGCGCATTCTTGAATCCATCCCATTAACCCCCTGAACATTCCCAAATGCTTAGCGCTCCCTGCAAAGACGTCTAACGCAGCCGGGCTACGGGGAACCACCCGCGTCTGGGTCTTGACCAACGCTGAAACGCTGAAACGCCCACACGCTAAATGGGTCTTTTTCAGGGGAAGCTTGGTTGTGAGCCAATTAGATGCGAGTATCTTCATGCCAAGTACAGCATCTGCGAACCTCACTTCGGTTTAGAATAAATACGATCCATATCCATTTAAAGCCAACAAACCTCACATTGATGACTTGATCAAATGCTACGCCATACGGTGTATCTAATGCTGGCCCTCTCAGTCAATATTTACATGCTTCATGGCGCTCAATGCTAGCCAAAAGGGCCTCAATGTCATCCTTGCAGTCTGCAACTTTTACAATATTGAGCGAGGCCATCCATGTTGAAGCATGTGGAATCAATATGCATACATTCCGGTACCAGTGAATCTGGACAACGACAAATGATCGGAGCCCTTTACAGTGCTACTTCACTGAAGCGTTATCGCCATATAATCGAACCACATATGCATCGCCACGATACCAATAGCTATGCACATCTTGAGAGGCCAGGATATAACTTTACACATGCATACAAACATGGCAAGGTGTTGTCTCGTCAGTGGCCAAACCGTCAATATAATTTTAGCCACTCGATCGTGTTTCACAATGCTTAATGGTAAGATGACAACGTAGATCTTACGATCTGTGTACGTGCTGCCTCAGCCCCAGACCAGATCGTAACCTCAGATATAAACAAATTAAACAAAGACGTTCAATTATGCTATAGTAAATGAATCGGTGGTTGTACCGAGACAAGCAGTTGTCTCATAAGATCTTTTTATAGTGCCTGTCAGAAGCAAGCAGAGACAATATGAGTTTCATCTATTTATGAACTTGGTAGACAAGACTGGTCACAATTTGGACAAAACAGAAATGAACTTCAAAAGGTGTAATTATTATCGACTACATAAACATAGTCTTTTCTGACTTTTCTGTAACCTTGCCATGCCATCCGTGGCCCATCCATTCATTAGGTCCATGCCAGGACCATTCTCAAATATCGCAAACACACCGTAACTATGCTCATCTCTCATCAGAGGGGAAAAACAATGCTATATGCTTGTAAAAACAATCAAATCATACGCTTCAACACCATTTTATGATCCAAGCAATCAACTTTTTTAGTTGCCAATCTGAGCCATGCGCTTAGACATGCTGTGAAGTAGTTAGTATATGTTATTCAAATGGGAATATGAAGGGTTAAACTTACAAGTCAAAGAAGGCAAACTGGCTGGGGCTGCTGCCGAACTCGTAGACGAAACGACTAGCAAGGTAAGAACCGAAGATACTTCGGAGGTAGGAGTCGGGGATGCGAGCGATGAGGGTGTCGAGACCAATCTTCTCGAGGAGAAGACGGGGAAGGGCATCCTCGAGGATAGATCGGCGGATCTTCTCGTTGTCCCAGAGGTCGGAGTGCTGGAGCTTCTCGTCGAGGTCGGTGATGGCGACGGACAGCTTGTCGGAGAGGATAGATCGGGGAGTTCCGGTCTGCTCGTGCTCGCGCCAGATGGCCTCGAACTCGAGGCGAGCGTTCTCCTGAATCTTGAGCTGAACCTGCTTGACGTAGTCCTGGTAGAACTGAGGAGCCTGGCCCTGAGCATCGTGGCACATGTTCTGGACGAAGCCCTCATCGTCGAAGGACAGAGAGGCAAGGACCTCGAGAGAGGATGAAGTCACACCACCCTTGTTGGCAGAGGCATCCTTGTACAGAATGCAGCCAGCGGACTCGAGACGGAGCTTGGCCTCCTGGGTGATGAAGAGGTTGGCACCCTCGACGAGGTAAGGGAAGATGCACTTGCCATCCTTGATGAGACGGTTGACCGAGATGAGGTCGATGGAGGCAGGGCGACCACCACAAGGAACGAAGCAGTCGACGCTGCCAGTGTCGCGGAGGTGGAAGGTGTTGCGGAAAGAGGTACCGTTGTTGATAACCTCGCCGTTGGGGAGAGTGATGTTGACATCGTCACACAGAACTCGGTAACCCTCAGCAGACAGCTTGGAGATGTCGTACTCGATGATCATCTTGCGGCCGTGGGCAAGGCGAAGGAGCTCCTCGCGGTCAAGACCGTTGGGGTCAACAAGGACACCAGAGCCATCAACGATGGCAGTGTACTTCTCGTTACCGAGCTTGATCTCGTTGCTTCCCAAGTCACCATCGGGACCACCAGTCTGCATCTTGCGGATGGTGGAGGGGTCAAGCTCCAGCTTTCGGTAGATACCCTTGACGTACTCGCGGACGGACAGAGTGGTCATACCGTAAGTGTCGTGGGGAATACCACCAAGCTTGGGAGACTTGCCAGTGAAGAAGGACTTCCACCAGGGGGCGCCACGGGAGCGAGCGTGCTCAGTGGCCCAGTCAACCAACTCAGCAGTGTTCTCATCAGGACCCATGAAGAGGATCTCCTCCTTGCCGTAGTGGTCGACAATGGGGTTCTTGATACCGGGGGTCTCAGCGGGCAGGAGAAGATCAAGGATACTATCGATGTACTTCTCGAAAGCCTCGCGAGCACGGTTCTGCTGCTTAGGGTCCAAAAGGATAACACCCTTGGAACCACCCTCAGGGATATCCTTGTTCTTGCGCTGCTGAGTGCTGGCAAGACCGTAGTTCTCATCGAAGAGAGATCGGGCGTTGATGCCGTAAGCCTCCTTGTTGCGAGACTTGACGATTCGGATACCACCACGAGAGATGTCCTTGAATCGCAGGTGGAAACCACGAGACTCGGAGCTGATGACGAGGAACATGCCGTAGAGGGGCTTGGGGTACTCAACCTCGGGGAGGAAGTTGGGGTCGAGACGGAAGCTCAGAGCGACCTTGGTGGGGGTGAAGTAGTTGGTCTTGAGGATGGCGTTGTTGAAGACACGGAAAGCAGTAAGGACCATCTCGTCGTGCTCGTTGTTAACGTTCTTGGAGATCTTGTCCTTGAGGGCTTCGTCGGAGAGAACCTCGACGGAGAGGCTGGAGGAGACAACCTTCACGGGGTCCTCCTGGTCCTTAACAAGGTGGTTGTTGGCGAAGGAAGCGTAGAGAGCGCGAACGAGACCGGGGTAGTTCTGAATAATCTCGTAGATGTAGTCAGGAGTGAAGGTCTCAGAACGGAGACGGCGCTTCAGGTTGGAGAGGAGAGCCTGCTGAGCGTTGTTCTTAACATCCAAAAGCTCGGCGAGAGAGGCGTACTCGGGACCCAATCGGTTGAGGAAGTGCTGGACGAAAACCCAAGCGGAGTGGGCGTAGACGGACTCCTGGAGGCTGAGCTGTCCGTCAAGGAAGAGGTTGTGGAACTTGTTGTGGGGGAGACAGTAGAGAAGAGAGACCTCCTTGGAGATCTGGTCGATAGACTCATCCCAAGAGGGGAACTGCTCGCGGCTCTCGGTGGTCTCAGTGGCAGGTCGGAGGTAGACACTCATGACGGTGATACCGTTGGAGAACTGCTCGAGGTACTTTCGGGTGGAGGTGACACCGTAGTAGTGGTAGAGATCACTGAGAGCAGAGAAGAGACCCTGGGCAGTGCGGGATCGGAAAGCAAGAACCATTCGCTTCTCGTCGGTGTCCTCAATGTCGAAGACCTCGATGACGGGACCAGCTCGGTTCACAGCGAGCTCGATAATGTCCTGGTAGATCTGCTTGGTGTTGGCG